CTTTTCCAGGGAAGCCAGGCAGTCAGTTCATGCCCCTCACGTGACAATATAGCTCTAGACAGGTTACATAAAAAGCTCTTAAACATCAGAGATTGGCAGTTGAGCAACTTGTACAAGGTGAAGATTTGACTATTTAAATTCTGAGGCTTTGGACATTATTGTCTAAAGTGTTCTCATAGAATTGACTGTAACTTTGAGTTTGGGATTCCTTTTCTCCTAAGTCTTTTTTAAGATTTTCTATTGATTTGAGAGAGAGAAACATCGATTTGTTTATCCCACTTATTTATGGTTGATTCTTGGATGTGCCCTGACGGGACATTGAACCTGCAACCTTGGTGTATTGGGATGAGGCTCTGACCCCCTGAGCTACCTGGCCCAGGGCAGGTCTGGGACTCTCATGCCTGGGCAGCCGCTGAGAAGTGAGGAGACTCCATAGTGCTCATGCTCCTTGCAGGATTCTCAAGAATCTAAAATTCCATCACCTGCCTCTAGAATGTCTCCTAAAAGTGCCTGTCTGCCTGGGTACACAAAATCTGACACTTGGTGTGTGGGTCTGCGAGCCTTCCAGGCAGAGGTCTGGGCTGAAGAAGGCGCCCTCTTCCTGGGGTTTGGGTGTGGAAGAGACAGCCTAGAACGTGGCCCAGCGTTCATCATCCTGCTCCAGGTCACAGAGCAGATAGTATGCATGGTCTTCACAGACCTACGATCATTTCAAGCTTTGGTCACTTGGTGATTTCTTCCTGCATGATGGTGGTATTAATATGAAGGAAAATGGAGCTTATACAGTGCATAGTGATCATCTTTGAAGATGGTGCAGTACCTTTACAAATTCCCATCATGAATACTCAAATATGCAATGAAGCACCCGTCATCCTCTGAAACTTGAAAAATAGTAAGCTTGATTTTATTTTTTTTAAAGATTTTATTTATTTATAGATGGAAAGGGAGGGAGAAAAGGAAGCATCAGTGTGGTTGCCTCTTGGGCACCCCCTACTGGTGGCCTGGCTGGCAACCCAGGCATGTGCCCTGACTGGGAATCCAGTTGGCGACTCTTTGGTTCGCAGGCCAGCACTCAGTCCACTGAGCCAGGCCAGCCAGGGTGTAAACTTGATTTTATAAGTCATTGATCTTTCTGCCCCTGTAGCTCTCTGCTGTCTCCCCAACAGTCTCCTGCCCTTTTCCCTGGGTGAGCCTCTTTGCTGTTGGACTTCCTGTGAGACTTGCTCCATATCTGGGTGATTCTGATTTCCCCACTCATTTATGAATAACAATATAAACTTCTCTACACAAAGTGTGTTCTTTGGGGTTATGCCTTTAGGAGATCGCATAAAGAAATTAGTGCATTGGAGGAAATGAACATTTTTATAGCTTTTGTTGCATAGTTCAAAGACTTTTCCTGAAACAAAGAACCAGTTTACAATATATTTAACAACTTATTAGTATACATGTATTTCCATAGGCCTATCAACATGGTTGCTTTAATTTTGTTTTGGTACAGTACTATCTATCTTAAGAGTTTTATTTTCCAATGCTAGTGAGCCTGGATATTATTACACATTTTGGCTTACTGTCTGAATCTCCCATATATAAAACTGGGTTCGTCTCCTTTGAGTTTGATTAAATGGAATATGCATGTTGACCTTATATGATGATATTTTATCCTTCCAGTATTTTTTCCTATTGCCTTCTGTCTCTTTAAACATTTTGGCCATATATATTCAATGCATCCTTCTCTGAGTAGATATAAGTTTTCTTCTGTTTTCTCCCAGTTTTGGTTTTTTTAAAAGATTTTATTTATTTATTTTCGTAGAGAGGAGAAGGGAGAGAGAAAGAGAGGGAGAGAAACATTGATGTGCGAGAGAAACATCTATCAGCTGACTCTTGCACACCCCCAGCTGGGCACCTGGCCTGCAACCCAGGCAGGTGTCCTGACTGGGAATCAGATCAGCAACCCTTCAGTTGGCAGGCCAGCGCTCAGTCCACTGTGCTACACCGGGCGGATATATATAAATAATGCTTTGACCTGTGTGTTCTATAGAATGATGAGTGAATCCAGTACTGTTTCTGTGTTTCTTAATGATTAGCTCATTTTCCATTCTTATGTTCTTCCTGGTTCATCTTGTAGTTTTATAACAGTTCCAGTTTACTTCTGGAATCTTAAATGCATCACAGCGATTCATTTCCTCCTCTGGTTCTCTTCTAGCATCATAAACTGGGGCTTGCTGTCACTCTGGAAGGTCATTAAAATCTGATAGGATGAGCCTGCGGTTGTGACATGTCAGGATGCATGTCTTTTGTGTTCTTGTATACTTATTCCTCTGGAGAATTCTGATCTCAGTTTGTCAAGCCATAAAATAGATTCTACAGGAACTTAAAATCCATATTACATTAAATCCTTTTGTTTTCTTGGGAAGTATTAACTTTATTTAGTCCTTTCAGCCAAGGATTAGCAATTTCTTTCCTGTATTCTTTTATTTTTCCTATTAAGTATATATTTTTTCCTAATTAAATCTTTAATATCCTGAACTTTGTCACTTAACAAATTTTAAATATTTTGTTGCTTTGGCAAAACTCTTTTATGGGGTTTCTACTTGAATGGGCCTAATGGTTAAGAATGCAGTGATTTTTTTTTTTCTTGATAGGATTTTTTTTTCTTCATAGCTTACAGCTTTTCTCAAATCATGTATTCATGATGGTATTGATTTTATTTCTTCCTCCCTCATGTGTCATGCACTGAATTACGTCTTCGGTGTTGCAGGCAGCCTCTGCGGCCCCGTATCCCACAGGAAGCAGCCTGGGCAGGCCTTTGGTGCTGTGGGTTTCAAAGAATTCACTCTAGCACTTCACCAGCTAACATGCTAGTGCCTTGTAATTTTAAAATAAATTATTTTAAAAAATATATAATCTTTACAATACATAGTTCACTTTTTACAACAAATGTTTAAGTCAAAAAATTATCTAGTTCACTTGCTCCTTGTAATATGTCTAAATTCCATCCACTTCTGAATAATCTTAGTCACAGAGACATTTTTCCTCCTGAAAACATTCTTCAGTCTCAAACCAGTTTCTGATTGTAGCAGCCTTACCACTGCCTCACTGCATGTGTTTTGTGGCCGCACCCGGCTGCGGCGCCTCCCCCGTGCCTGGTGCTGCAGAGCGGCCCTTCCTTTGCCGGGGCTGCTCTGGTTTCTAGTAATGCGGGTTATCAGCGCTTGGAAGTGGCTCGTCCCAGGCCACCGTTTTCAGTCTTGGTTCAAAGGGTTTTCTCTTTTTGAGTCCTAGGCACACATTTATTTTTCTCCGTTGTTACCATTCTTTTAAAAATGGGACTGTTGGTGTTCACGATTGTGAGTGAAAGGTGCTCTGTCATCCCACGAATTTTTTTTTTTAACTTTTTGTTTTGACATAATTATAGATTCACAAGAAGTTGCAAGAATAGCATGGAGCAGGCCAGTGGACCTCTCATTTAGTTTCCGCAGGTGGTGCCATCTGACTGGATGCTTCCCTAGGTAGCCGTGGTTTTGGCAAGGCTCCAAGTGTCCTTAGCATGGTGGTACTAGGTTAGACGATGTGATTAGGCAATGAGATTCTTTTTTTTCTTTCCTTTTTTAGAGAGTGTGAAAAGACACAGTTCGTTGTACTTATTTGTGCATTTATGAGTTGATTCTTGTGTGTGCCCTGAGAGCAAGGGGACTTGTAACCTTGGCATATTGGGACTCTAACCAGCTGAGCTATCCAGCCAGGGCTAGGCCAGGGCTAGGCAATATGGTTCTAGTCCTTTCTTTGCCATTATCTTTTTGCCCTGAAAGCATTTAGCTCATCTCAGTTTTTTATCTCTTTGTAAAATGAGCCAGTCACGCAGTCTTTTGATTTTTCCTTTTTTCATGTGATCGGTTAGCTGAGAGCACGGGCACCCAGTTGAGAGACAGACTTGGCCAGCCCTTGCCTGAGCAGGGAGCCTTGGGTATTTTCTTCCTCATTTGACATGGGACAGATTGAAAGGTCTTAAAACTGAAATGTTTCTACGATAATTAAAGAGAATCATAAGACCAGTGTAGAGTTGATTAGCTTAGAGCTGAAAGCTCAATAGAATGCCAGAACATAAAAAATACAAGGGCATATGGAAGGCACGTAGAACTATTTCCTATTAAAGACACATTCACACAGAAGTCTAAGGCACCTGCAGATTTTAAAAGGGACAGAGTGATTTTAGAAAGTGGAATTAAAATGACTACTAAGATGCTTATTTATCGTTAGTGACAGACAAGTCTCATAAATTGTAATGGAGAGCTTGTTATGCATAAATCTGTTATTTGTAGTTATTATAGTCTTCACTAGAAATTGCATGTCTTTTTTATTTCTGAAACTTATTGGGATGAAGAGCACTGTCAGTTTTTGTATTAAATTGTCTCAGAGGCACGTGGCTCGGTATTTATGATGAACCCGAATGAAACGACCGGAGCGAGCGGAGGAGCGGGGGTCAGTGCTGGACGCCTGTGGGCAGACGGGGCCCCAGCATCGCTGGGGCTGCGCCCTGAAAGCCTCCCCCATAGAGCTACTGTGTTCGGTCTCGGCTGCTTGTCAGAGGAAACTGTCATTCGGCCTTGATTCTGCTTTCCATTCAGGCTCTTCAGGTTTTGGTTTCCTTTGATTTAACGGCAAGCCCAGAACGCCCTGCCTTGCTCTCATGGCTTTGTGCTGCACAGGCTTGGGAATCAGCAGCCAATCCTGCCAAACTGGGTTATTTTAGAGATGAGTAGTGTATGGCAATACTTCGTGCCTACTCAAAAAAAAAAAAAAAAAAATAACGGAAACAGCTGAGAATTATAAAGTAATACAGAAAGGGGCAGTGCTCCTGTACACGATACAGTCCGCCAGCGAACTCATACTTACAGAGGTTTGTGTTTTTTTTCCCTTCCCTCGATCTGTCTGTCCGCACTGCTGATTCTCTCACGCCCGATGGCTCTCCTCAAATGCCCGCCCTGGGTATTCCTTCGAAGCTTTGTGCACCGAGGGCCTTCGCCTCTGGATCTTCACTTGGGCATGTTCCTGCCCACCTTGCTTCACCAGGCGACTGCGGAACAGCAGGAGCGCTTCTTCATGCCCGCCTGGAACTTGGAGATCATTGGCACTTATGCCCAGACAGAGATGGGTCATGGTACGGTGTATTTAGTCTATCTTCTGGGTTGGGCGGGGCGCTGCAAGCTTAGCAGGTATGGAGTGCCCGCCATGTGTTAGCGGTGGCACCTCTGCGTGCCATGTATGAGCTGTTTAAATGTGACCTTTCTGCAGAAGTCAGGTTTTTCAGCATACGCGTCTTAGCAAAAATATTGCTTTGCTCAGTGAAAAATGAAAGGTTACAGTATCAAGATATATACTGATTTTTTAATAAATTGGTTCCCCTTTAGAAGGTCAAGAATTACAAGTCAGCCCTAGCTGGTGTGGCTCAGTGGATTGAACGTTGTCCTGCGAACCGGGGTCGTCGCTGGTTCGATTCCCAGCGTGGGGCACTTGCCTGGGTTGCAAGCCATGTCCCCGGGGAGGGGGATTACGCAAAATGCAATGACACATTGATGTTTCTCTCCCTTCCCCGCTCTAAAAAATAAGTAAATAAATAAATCTTTAAATAAATAAATTAAAAAAGATTATTTTTACCAAAAAAGAAAAAATTACAAGTCAGGCCTTACTAAGTGCTTTTCCAAGCTCACCAAAGTTGTATAGAATGTGCGCGCGCACAGAGTCTGAACCCATCTTTCCTTCTTCCTTACTGTCTTAATACCCTTACTACTGATACATTAGTGAACTTGCAGCAGTTCCAGAAGAAATACAGATTTGTAGTATACATGCTCTTCGATTTGCTGACAGGAAATGAGTGGCTTATTTAACCAAAATATGCTGCATTTCATGCCTGCAAGTGATTTGTGCCTGATTCAGTAAACTCAGTAAAGCTCTGAAGGCAGCTTGGCCAGAGCTCAGAAAAATAAGATGAGCTGCGACTCCAGGCAGTTGGTTCCATGCTTTATATCTGCTGCCTTTTTTCTTTCCACCCCCTCCTACCTTTTTCTGTCTGTTCTGAATTCGTTTTTGCTCTTGTTGTCCATCTGTTTTGGCTCCTCTCTTTCTCCTCAGAGGTTTCAGGACAGCTAGTCTAATGTGTATTTGCCTTTTGTTCCTTCCTTCTGTGTGGCTTCATCTTCATTTTACGGCTGCTCTGGCTTTCAGCCCTGGTGCTGAACTATGCATTACAGGATTTTCAAGACTCAGAGTGGGATACCATTTGGTTCAGTTATGCATTTAAAAACATTTCATCGTAATCTATTCTGTAAATGTTAATCTTGTTTTCTTAAAAAACTGCTGCTTTGTTGAAAGGATTCTCAGGTGTTTGTTCCTTTGATTTCCACTCTGGGGAAGGTTGTTGATTACACGGGCCTTGTCTGTTGGTCACCTTGAACATCCCTGTTTCAGAGTTTGTGTTCAGTGAGACTTGTATTTAATTAAAACATGACCTCTTCAGCAAACAGGAAACTGGGACCTCTTCCTGGTCCCACTAGCAAACCAGCCAGAAGGAAGCCACTGTTCTAGGTCTTTTTCCCCCATAACAGTTATACCATTTTGAGACTTGTTTTCCATTCTAGCAATCATTATGGAATACATTCTCAACTTAAAAGGCCTTTACTAGAGTCTCTTCCTGCCACGTGTTATCTTATTCTTGTAGTTGGTGCGGTAAGCACAATAAAGTGAGTTGAAATTGGCACACTCACAACTTAAGAGATGGGTTTAGAAGGGCAGTTATCTTTCCTGTGAATTTCATATCCAGTGATCTTACGAAACTGTGATTCTAAGCTGCCTTTTCATTGTCTTTTGGTTGCTCTGAATAAATGTTACCTAAGTATAGGAAATTATGTGTCTTGGTTATCAACCATTTGTAGCTTAGCTGAAAACATTTTACTGTTATCAGACCGTGTTATCCTCTGAGCTATTAGACCTTAAAAGACTGGACAGGAGATTTTACCCTGTACCTATTTTTTCTCATATTTTCCCATATTCTATCTGAAGTAAATATAATTTAATTTCCTTAGGAACTCATCTTCGAGGCTTGGAAACCACAGCCACTTATGACCCTGAAACCCAGGAGTTTATTCTCAACAGTCCTACTGTGACCTCCATCAAGTGGTGGCCTGGTGGACGTAAGTGAATTTTTTAACAGTTTTGGATCTTTTGAAGATATATTGAAAGATCATGTTTAGGGTGTAGAGCTCGTATGAAAATATAATTTTACAAGGCTTAAATAAACTATTGTAAGCTATTCAGTATTTCATGTTCCCATGCGGTACATGTTTCAGACATTTGTACATTTGACAAAGCACAGAAAGGACAGCTGTCTCTCTCTGCTTTTCTTAGTTTTTTCATTTACACATTTCCATGTATCAGGGTAATTTCAGAAAAAAAAGCTAGCAGGCAAAAAGCAGACAAATATCTCAGGACGCACTAACCAAACGTCTCTTGCAGCAGCCCTGGCCCGCAGAGCTCTGCGGTGGGGGGAGCGTTGCCTCTGCTGCGCCGCGCAGTCGCCACTGGTTGCGCATGCCTGCCGCACCCCTGAAATGCAGCCAGCTGACAGGGGAAGGGACTCTTTTATTTAATTGTAATTGGTTTAAATGTAAATGGCCATTTGTGGCTATTGTTTTGGAAAGCCCTGCCTTAAGGGAGAAAAAGGAAGTAAATTAATGTTCTTTTGGTTATCCTATAATTGTCTTTATGTAAATGAGGAATTAAGGAGAAAATAAAGTAAGCTGTCTTTTAAAATGGATTACTATCAAATCAACAAGTAGTACACCTTCAACTTATCCAGTGTTGTATGTCAGTTACTTACCCATTAAGATTGCTTTGTGAACATTTCACGACTTTTATCAGCTGTCAGCCTAAGTGGATTAACTTCTGCAAACCAGGTGTGGCGCTGTCCTAAGACAGGCTCTCTGGGCACCTGTTTACTGATGGGGTCTAGTGTTCTAGTTACAGATGTCCTTCCCCCTTCTTTTGTTTCTGTCCTTTGAGTGTGTAAGAACGATTGCTCATCCCTCTGTGGTTTTCTTTGATGTTGCAGTTGGGAAGACTTCAAATCATGCGATAGTACTTGCCCAGCTCTACACCAAGGGGAAGTGCTATGGATTACACGCCTTCATAGTACCTATTCGTGAAATTGGAACCCATAAGCCTTTGCCAGGTTAGAATCGTTCATCTGATGTTAGGACGAAAACGTAAACCGAGCACTTTCCTTCTGCAAAAAGTAAAATACACAACTAAAGAGGAGTGGGGACAGCCAGGGTTCCAGAGTGTGAGCCCCTGGTGACCTTCCTTTCTTTCGTGGTAGGTATCACTGTTGGGGATATTGGCCCTAAATTTGGCTACGATGAGATGGATAACGGCTACCTGAAGATGTACCATTACCGTATCCCCAGGGAAAACATGCTGATGAAGTATGCCCAGGTGTGTCACTGCAGAATTGGGAGCAGGGGGTCAAAGGTGGGGTCACTGAGGCTGTAGGTGACCACAGGGCTAAAAGGCCCTGCCTTTAGAAGACCATAGCATAGTCCCATCTCTGATGCTGCTTTCACAGTGACGGTGAAACCGAAGGCCCTTGGCAGGTCTGGGGAGCATGTTCAGTCTGCCACAGAAGCAACCTCAAACTCTGAGGTGCGTTAGAATCGCCTAGAGGGCTGGCTGAGATCCAGATTTCTTGGCCCCCAGAGTTTCTGGTTTAATAGGTCAATGTTGGCAGCTGATATTTTTTTAAAAAATATTGTATGTATTGATTTTTAGAGAGGGGGTGGGAGAGAGAAACAGATGGGCCGTCTCCCATACATGCCCCAACTAGGGGGCCAAACCCACAGCCCAGGCCTGTGCCCTGACCTGGAATCGAACCGGCGACCTTTCACTTTACGGGATGATGCCCAGCACACTGAGCCACATCTGTCGGGGCAGGACTGAGATTTTGTATTTCGAACAAGTTCCAAGGCGACGCCAATGCCATTGTTCTGGGGACCACACTGTGAGAACCACTGGCTTAAACTGTGTCTTGGGTTTAACAAAAGGAATCATCAATCCCATGTTCTTTTTCCAGGTGAAGCCCGATGGCACCTACGTGAAACCCGTGAGTAACAAACTGACCTACGGGACCATGGTGTTTATCAGGTCCGTCCTTGTGGGAGAAGCCGCTCGCGCTCTGGCTAAGGCATGCACCATCGCCATCCGATACAGTGCCGTGAGGCACCAGTCTGAAATCAAGCCCAGGTAAGGGTGGGGTCCGAGGTGGGCTCATTACTGAAGCCCTGGCTTTGAGTCCGTTCAGATATCAGATTGCCCAAATGTGGTATGGGGAAGTCGCGTCTGCTGCAGGATCCGCTGAGATGGCAGTGTGCTGCGCCTACTCCTTAGAACCGGGGCTTCCTTTCCTTAAGTGAAAGCATGAGAGTACCACTTTATTATTTTTGACCTTCCAAAAATAACAGTAATAGTATTACTTGAGCCCTGGCTGGTGTGGCTCAGTGGATCCAGTGCCAGCCTGCACCGAAAGATCGCTGGTTCAATTCCCAGTCTGGGCACATCCTGGATTGTGGGCCAGGTCCCCAGTTGAGGGGGATGTAGATGTTTCTCTCCCTTTCTTCCTCTCTAAAAATAAATACGTAAGTCTTTCAAGTATTTTTAAAAAATAGTATTACTTGAGCTCTATACATGAAATGTTCAAAACATTTAGGTAGTTCGAAAATTCTAATTGCTACTAACAACTGCAGATTGGGCGCGGTAAAAGCGACATGAAACTTTTTTTAAGAAGGACGTGTCTATCGTTTTACCTTTTTTTTTTTTAAGGTTTTATTTGTTTATTTTTAGAGAAGGGGAAGGGAGAAAGAAATTGAGAAAATCGATGTGTGAGAGAAACATCAATCGATTGCTTCTTGTACACCACCAACTGGGGACCTGGCCTGCAGCCCAAGCAGGTGCCCTGACGGGGAATGGAGCCCATGACATTTCAGTTAGCAGGCCGGCGCTCAGTCCCCTGAGCCACACCAGCCAGGGCAGTGATATTAAACTTGATTCTCTGTTGTGTTCGTGCCCATAGTTCATTCCTACTACAGTCTTTCATGTGGGCATGACTCCCTGATAACCTTTTTATTCTTTTTATTTTGTTTTGTTCGTAAAACCTTGACCAGGGATCAAACCCACAGCCTTGGTGTATCGGAATGACATTCTAACCAACTGAGCTACTGGGCCAGTCCAACCCTTTTACTCTTAAAGAAGGAATAAAGAAATTGATAAGAGCAGATCTTAGTCTTCAAATATTTAACTCCCTGCATTGGGTCCTCTCCATAATTGTGGTCAATGTGTATCAATAGTGTATTCAGCCATCTAGTTAGTGGATTACATTTTTCTAACATTGTCTTCCACCCTGGCTATATGAATCAGTGGATTGAGTGCCAGCCTGTGAACTGAAAGGTTGCAGGTTCCATACCTGGTCGTTGCATGTTCCTGGGTTGTGGGCCAGGTCCCCAGTTGAGGGCGTATGAGAGGCAACTGATCAATGCTTCTCTCCCTGTGTTTCTCTATCTCTAAAAATAAATAAGTAAAATCTTTAGATTAAAAAATAAAAGCATTGCCTTCCTCCTGTAAAGTTAACTAACTTTGATTTTGTATGTTGCCACAAGACACGGTTTCCTTAGTCATGCTGGAAAGACAAAGAAAAATAACTTCACAGCTAGAAACTTCTGTCCACCTGAGACAGCCTAACGAGATGGTTAAGGGCATCTCCTGTAGCCGGAGAGCCTCACTGTGGGTTGAGGATCTGCCCCTTACTAGCTGCATGAGCGCAGGCAGGGTCTTTATAAATAAGGGTTAAATAAGTTAATGTGTCAAAGGGCGTAGACTGGAACCGGACACAGAGTAAGTTCTGTTTGTGTGTTTAATTTTTACTTTTTGCATATCCTTTAGTGAACCAGAACCACAGATTTTGGATTTTCAAACCCAGCAGTATAAACTCTTTCCACTGCTGGCCACTGCCTACGCCTTCCATTTCGTGGGCGCATACATGAAGGAGACCTACCATCGGATCAATGAAGACATTGGCCACGGGGACCTGAGCGAGCTGCCCGAGGTACATGTGGAGTCCCGCTCACTTGTGGGCACCCTTCTCTTCATATCTGCCTGCTAAGTAATGTCCAGAGGAAACTGCACATTGGGGTTTCTTGAATAGTCCATATACTCTCAAAGGATGCAGAAATTTTTCTGATTGGAAGCGGATTAGGTATGAGGATGTGTGGGTTCTGTCTTTAAGTTCCGGAAGCACTGTGTCACGTTGTCCGTTTGTTAATCAAGGGAACGTGACGGGTGGCTGGGCCAAGGCGACCAGTTCTGTAGGGAGTGTGGGGTGACCATGCTGCTTTGGTTACGTGTGTGGCCAGTGATTCTGAAAGTGAGCGGCACCGGTAGAAGGGGGTTCATGGTTCTTGTTGCAACTCGGGCTGCCAGCACGCAGCTGTTCTGATGACCTGGGCTTTCCCCTTCAGCTTCACGCGCTCACCGCTGGGCTGAAAGCTTTCACCTCCTGGACAGCGAACACCGCGATCGAGGCCTGTCGGATGGCTTGTGGCGGGCATGGCTATTCTCACTGCAGTGGTCTTCCCAATATTTATGTCACCTTCACCCCCACCTGCACCTTCGAGGGAGAAAATACTGTCATGATGCTACAGACGGCCAGGTGAGAATCTTAATTCATGATGACTGTTCTCTATTAATAAGAATGTTTGAGTCCTTTTTCATTGGTTCCTGTTACCACGTTTTCTCTTCACATTATATTTGTTCCTGAAAGACATCTTGCCTTCTGTCAGGACCCACTATTTTTATCTTGTGATCCTACTAGCGAGGCTGAAACACCTGCCACATAACTTAAAGCCTTTTGAAGATTTTGTTTTATTTCTGTTTCACAAGAAGCGTAGTTACTGAAAGCATGTGTACTGATGATTTTAGGTTCCTGATGAAAAGTTACGATCAGGTGCACTCAGGGAAGTTGGTGTGTGGCATGGTGTCCTACCTGAATGACCTGCCCAGTCAGCGCATCCAGCCGCAGCAGGTCGCAGCCTGGCCGACCACAGTGGACATCAACAGCCCCGACAGCCTCACCGAGGCGTATAAACTCCGTGCGGCCAGGTGAGCTCTCCCCGCCCCCCCGTGCTGGAATGGCCCTGTGGGGGCCTCGGCCAAGGGCCTGATGGAAGAGGAAGCAGGCATGTGCACCATTGATTGCTTCCTCTGAGCTTCATCTTTCTTTCACTTAACAGACTAGTAGAAATTGCTGCGAAAAACCTTCAGACTGAAGTGAGTCACAGAAAAAGCAAGGAGGTAGCGTGGAACCAGACTTCCATCGACCTCGTTCGAGCAAGTGAGGTCAGTGGCAGGTGTCTCTCCATCTCCCCTTCTGCACGCTGTACGCCGCCGCCTGCCCCCGTTTTGGGAGGGCAGAAACCCTGTCAACGCATGGAGGATCTTTTTCAAAGGGCTCACATTCTGCCTCTTTCTCTTTATCTAGGCACATTGCCACTACGTGGTAGTTAAGCTCTTTACAGAACAGCTCCACAAAATTCAAGATAAATCCATCCAGGCTGTCTTGAGGAATTTATGTCTCTTGTATTCTCTGTATGGAATCAGTCAGAAAGCAGGGGATTTTCTTCAGGTCAGTATTTTCCTAAGTTGAAGTTTTTGTTTTTGTAGAAAAATTATTGTGGTCTGCTTTATAACTGTGCATATGTTTAATATACCTATCTGTCTAGATACAGGAGTAGTTTACAGTTGTAGCTTTACAGTTTGTATGGAAAGAAGAGAGAACAGGTTATGATTAAACAGCTTTATTAATTCAAATGTCACAATGCAACTGTAAGCCGAGCTTGGCCGCACCTGTACAGACACGTATGTATGTCGTTTGCTTGTCTCGCTTCTTCCAGGAGAACATCCTGACAGACTCTCAGGTCATCCAAGTGCACCAGCGCATCAAGGAGTTGCTGACTGTCGTTCGCCCGGATGCGGTGGCTTTGGTGGATGCGTTTGATTTTCAGGATAGGTCGTTGGGCTCTGTGCTTGGCCGCTATGACGGGAATGTGTATGAGAACTTGTTTCAGTGGGCCAGGTTATCCCCCCTGAACAAAACAGAGGTAAAAAACAATGACTTTTCTTTCACCTTTTAAATTCTTGAATTAGATATTAGGACAGGAAAGACCTCCGAGCACGGTCCATCCGTAGAAGCTTCGAAAGCTCGCCTTGGACAGTCCCTGTGTTCAAGCAGCAGGTTCAGGAGGGAACTGGGTCGTTCCCACAGTGAGCAGGTTCTTCATTTCCTTGACTAGCAACTAACTGAAATTGTCAAACACCCACGCAGAGTGCTGTGGCGCAGCTCCGCGTGCCCTTTGTCAGGCTTCAGCGCCTGTGCGCTCACAACGGCTGTCGGCAGCCCCCACCGTCTCCTCCTGGGGAGGATTTTGAAACAAACCCAAGATATTTCTATCCATAGGCATTTCAGTATCCATCTCCAAAAGATAAGGATTCTTTTTAGAAATATAACCACAGTACCGTTCTCACACCTAAACACATTAATAATTCTTTAATGTCATGAATGACGCAATGGCCAGACTTTCCCAGTTGGCTCAGTTCTACTTTTGCATCCCTTCGGTTTCTTTGGATCAGGATCCAGAAAAGGTCCTGATAACTTCTTGGTTAAAAGTATGTTCTCTCCCACTGCAAGCTCCTCATCAGTCACCTCTCTCCCCCCTACAGGTCCATGAATCTTACTACAAGCACCTGAAGCCACTGCAGTCCAAGCTGTGACGGTCACAGCAGCAAGCGGAGCCTGCTCCAGAAAGCAGCTGTACTACTCCACGCGCGCTGTATGTCACACGGATCTGTGCAGAGTCTTTATCGAATCAGAGGCATTGGGCAAATGATCAGTTGACCCTTTTCCCCTTTATAAATGAAGGAAAAAATGAACAACTTACAGAGATTAAATGAAAAAACAAATGTGTTTTAAGTGCAATTAACATTGAAAGAGAGCTTGTTAAGCATTCAGAAAAAACTTTAAGAAATGCATTGTGTCCTCCCTTTGCTACGCTGCTGGTCCTAGTAGACTATAACTTTTGATAATTAGAATTTAACTACTAAGTAGTTAATGTTTTCACATCTTAATTGCTAATCACTGGATATATGTTTGTAGGCAAAGGTGTTTTGAAGTGGGGTAGAACCCTTCTAAGCTTTCTGCTAAATACCCTGCTGCTCCCGCATGGGCCCTGGCATAAAAGCAGGGCTGAAGAAAGCGGACTGGGGGAAATAAACTAATCAGGAAATTGGGTGGGAGTGGTTTGTGCTTGGCACACTGCCTGCCTGCTTGCCCTCGGTTGCGGACATACTGTTTCTGTTTGGTTATAGTAGCGTTTTTCCAACACAAGGATTTCTTCATCAAGATCATGGTCCTGTGTAGTTGGGAACTAGTGTTCCATTTGAAGGATCCCTAAATTGTCACTGTAGTAACACTACAATTTCCTTTGTCCCCAACTTCTTGGGAAGAGGTAGGTAGCAAAGTTATGAACACATAGGACATACGACAACTGATGGGACTTCAATCAGTGGTGTTTGGTCTCCCTCCCTCCCTCTCCCTTAACCTTCAGAAAGAGGTGCTGAAGAAAGGAGACAAAAGTCACAGTTCCTCCCGAGTAGAGTAAGGACAGGGAGAGCTCTCAGTTACACTTGCTCTGACTCTGGTGATCGTATTAACTGGGTAGTCTAGAACAATCAGGATTTCACATGTTCTGACATTTGGCCCAAATCATTAAAATGCTTGGAGGTGACAGTATCTGGCATGACAAAAATAAAAGCATCACTCAGGTTACTAACTCTTACACCCAGGAATCGCACAGAAACACACTTTGCAAACTATGTGTTCTGATTTTTGGATCATAAAATATAGGCAAAACTATGACTAAAGGATAAATGGAAGTTCTATAGAATCTACTGCATATCTGGCTTTATTCTCAGTGTATTTCTAGGGGCTTTATCTGAATTGCTAAATTGTCCTTTCAGCTGAAACCCAATTTTACACAATCATTCTATATTTAAAGGGTAAACATACCTCTTAATGAAGTTTATTCTTAAAATCAATGTAAAACAACACATCACTTGATTTCTCTTTTTAACCTGTTAACCGTATCTGTGACATCTATCCCATGAAACCAGTTGTTCTAGAATCAGTCTTGTGAATATAGCATCATTCAGTGGAAATGTAATTCCTGTCTTGGGTCCTGACATAAAATCTCTCCCTGTGGAACTGGTAATGTGAGAATTTTAGGTCCAGCAGAAATACTATCTGTTGACACAGCCTTAATCTCCACCTGGAGAATAAATTGATAATTGTGTTAAGGTTGAAGTAAAACACTGTGTTAATCTCATTTGGGTATATCCTTTCAGGTTCTGGAAAATAACGGTAAATTTAAATTGCTTAATATTGACCTGTTAAATGTAGAATTGTTTCACAATTCGTACTTAAATACTTTACAGGTGAATATCTGTAATCACGATCTGAGGGTGTTTGAAATGACAAAAACAATAAAAAAAATCTAATTATTTGATACTATTTTCTGTTAATACTGGAATGTGTTGTCTTGAACTTCACTCACTGTAATCAAAGAATAAAGATGTAGGAAAAGCTCACTAATTTGTACTTACAAGAGGGAAAACCACAATGAGGTATCACTTCACACCTGTCAGAATGGCTATCTAATAAATCAACAAATAAGAAGTGCTGTTGAGAGTGTGGAGAAAAGGGAACTGCAGTGCGCTGCTGGCGGGAATGCAGACTGGCACAGCCACTGTGGAAAACAGCATGGAGTGTCCTCAAAAAAATTAAAAATGCAACTGCCTTTTGACCCAGCAATTCCACTGCTGGGATTATACCCTAGGAGTCTTGAAACACCAATTTTAAAGCACTCATGCACCCCTATGTTCACAGCAGTGCTATTTACAATAGCTAAGTGTTGGAAACAGCCCATGTGTCCCATCAGTAGATGCGTGGATTAAAAAACTCGTACATTTACACAAGGGAACACTACACCACAGAAAGAAAGGAGCGCCTACCTTTTTCAACAGCATGGATGGAACTGGATACTTAACACTCAGTGATATAAAAGACATATTGCATGACCTCAAAACTGGACTCTCATGAACAAAATAGTGAAAAAAATGGAAACAAGGAACAGACTGAGCTGGAGGAGAGGAGGGAGTCGTGGAAGGAGGGGGAAGGGACGAGTCAAAGCGCGTGTATGAGAGGTGTGGACAGGGACAGTGCGATTGGGTGAGGGGCGGGCTGGGCGGAGGGGGCAAAGGGGAAAAAGCGGACAACTGTAATAGAATGATTGAAGAGGGGAAGTGTGCCACAATTAAGTTCAAATTCTGAAGAATTTTAAGACAGGATAATTAGGTATGGGTAACACGAAGAACAAACAAAAGGAGTGAGGCCCGCCTGAAGCGATGGTACTAAAATCTGTAATTGCTGTAAGATGTCTCAGAGCCATCGAGACTACCAGAGGAATACACCGATTCAAGTTCATGATCCTGGAGTTCTCTGGAGAGTGCTGCTTAGTCCCACCTCCCCGTTTCCGAGTTCTTTCCATCTTATTGGGAAGGAAGAGAATACATACAGGTGGATTGTAACAGCTGCTGATCTTTTTACACATGTGGAAGGTAGGCCTGGAGTTACAGGCTGTCTTCAAGCAGCAGCGGCTTCTGCAGCTGGAGAGAGGAGCAGAGGCAGGAAAAGGATTATTCACCCGAGACCGGGAGTCTTCTGTTGATCCTCCTGACTCTCATAAAGGTTTGATCATTTTCTTGGAATAATGCAGAGATCATTTCAACTAATTGAAAATTACTCCATTCTTGAAGGATTAGACCAAGTCATATGTAAATGACTAAAATGATTTTTCATTTTAAAATGTTGGTGGTAGAGTGTTGCCTTTAGCTGTACATACTTGACATTTTCAGTAACTATTCCTGTGGTCCAGGATAGTAAACATAGAAACATATAGGGAAACTTTGGAGCTGGTTACCAGGTGTTAGCTGTTGCAGACCTGCAAATTCCTGGATTCCAAGGGGTTTTTGTTCAATTTTGCCTTGAATTTAAGTGAACCATTCATAATCTCAGGAAGAACATGGTAAATTGGAAGTGATTTTAAGAGCTCTGAACCCAAGTAAGTTGTTTTGCCACAATATTGTTGACTGTTCCATAGGTAACAAATACGTGAGCTTCCACGTAATATTCAGATTGCTGACTAGTACTTCGTAAACACCATTTTATTCACAATTGCTATGCATGCAAGGATAAGACTTGTATCCTTTGGAGTGTATAATTACTTTGCTACCTTTTTTCTTTTACTGTTGAGGTTTGAGTTTGGCTCCTACCTGACAAGATGCAGTTAGCGTGTCTCGTTACTCGTCCCGGGCTGTTCTTGTCAGAGGGGCGGGAGAGTGGAGAAGGTGCCTGGGTCCAGGGCGTGTCAATCGAGGTTAGACAGTGGTGACCAGCCAGCACTACTTGGCCTGCGGTTAAACCAAAGCACTAATCCCTTTTTCCTTTGTAAATTGAAAGTCCCTTAATAAAATCTGTGTTATGCTCTTATTGGTGATGGTACTGGGTTTCACTCTGGTTTTACATCTCGGATTTTCTTAATTGAACAGGAAGGTCTCAGCAGCTTCCCCAAGCTCTGGAATGTGGGATAAATACGTAATTATGGTTTGACGTGTCAATCTTTCGATCTTAACACATTTCTCACACCCTCCCCGTCACGAGTCAGGTCTCAGAAGTGTGCTCGGTTTTGGGGCCCTGGCCTCCAGGGAATGGCAGGAGGAAGACTCCCACCAGCCTAGGAGACAGCAGTCTTCTTCTAGTGGCGTTGTGGCGGCTCCTAGCAACGCGCAGCGCCGCAAACCGAGGCCGGGTCTCGACTAACGGCCGCTGCAGGGTACCCTGGGAAGTGTAGTTTATCTTGGCGTCCCCTGCTCCCTTTGCTCTGGCAGGTGAGCGGGACGCGGACTACAACTCCCAGGATGCCTCGCGTCTCCCCTTCCTTTAGGGGGCTGGGTGACTGAAAGAAGGGCTCCGCGGGGCTCCGAAGCGGGAGGCCTGACTGAGACCCGCGGCTATGGCTCGGACAAGTCCCAGCGGTTGCGCCTCCGAAAGGAATGGCGCGTAACCCGGGGTATTTCAGGGGCTGGGAGGACCGTAAGCTGCGCTGGGGCGGAGAGGGGCTCGGTGCGCGGATGGGTGACGCGTGGAAGGGCGCAAGGGTCGGGACTGAGGGGTGCCTTCGGAAGGGCCCTTGCTAAGGGGCGGGCTCGGGATTTTAAAATGACTGTCTAGAGTAGGCTGAGCAGACGCGAGGGCCTGATGGTACTTTGGGACCCGTAGACTCTGCAAGCCTCTGGGAGAGGTTCCCGTGGTCTAGGAGGCTGGCACACGACCCACAGGGGATAACCGGAAGTTCTGGGCGTGGCGTGAGACACAGCGAGTTTGCACTCCTAGGTCGTGAAAGTGCCGTTGTAGAAAGGGAAACACGAACCTTCAGCGTGGTCCCTGGATGTAACCCCAGAGAACCTTTGCGTTCTCCTAACAGGACAGGCCAACAGCAGGGAAACAGAGACGGCTCGCTCCGACTCCCTTCTTCCAAGGCCGGTGCTCGTGACGTGGAGCGCGGGGGACGGGAGAGCGTGATAACTCGGAAGAAAACAGTTCTCTCTGTTAATGGAGCGAGTCGGATTTATAGTTAGTGTGAAGGAAAAAAACTTACATTGTCGGTGGAGACACGCACTGTCTCGGAGCCGGCACTCGGCTGCGCTGACGGTACTGAACGCTGCCTGCAAAGTAGGCGCGGTGTTGCCTGGGCAGGTGTGGGGGCCGAAGAGCCAGGTAGCTCCTTTCTGAGACCCGAACCTGCCGTCCCGCGTCCTCTTTCGGGTGGGCGAGGGACGAGGAGCATGGCCCTTTATGCGTGGAATCTCCAGGCTCCGAACGCTCATCAAATTACCCAGAGCACTTTGCTTCTCATCTAAATTGCTCCTCCAGTAAGGAATTTTTAATTTAGGGAAATAGGTCGTGACCTCTTGAATGAGGAGAGAGAGAGAAGCCTCGTTAGGCCTTGGACCTAAGCGTGGTTAAGGCTACATCAATATTAAGCAACCCCTTTAATTTTCTTCACCAGAGAGCGCGAGGCTCTTGTGCGCAGCATTCAAATGAGTTGGACCAGGCCGAGAAGGAGCTGCAAGCAGCCCCCAGAGCCTGGAGATGGTGCGTAAGATGCCTGGAAATGTGAGCTCGCCCCCACCCCCGCGATCCTGACTGCAGGGAGAACGCTGTAGGCTGGGTGACCAGGACCAGGAGGTGGTCCCTGGGCAAAGGCCAAGGGAAGTAACATTGATAGCACATTTCAAGCATTTCTTCCGAGCCTCTGAATGTCCTGCTGGAAGCATTTTTACGTCTGTTGCTGGTATTGAGTTGGGGCTATGGGATAGAGGAAGACATTCCCCTGGCTGGGAGGGTTTGTGCGTGGCATCTGGAAATCAGGGGAAGGGGGAGATTTCTGCCCCAGTGGGGCTGAGGTGGCGGGAGGTACCCACAGTGGCATCCTCTGCTGGTAGAGGCCCTTTCCACTCTGAATGAGTCTGTTCTCAGAACCTCGGGGACAGCACGAAGGGCTTCTGTCTCCAAATGCCATCTGCACTCCTTTCACCACTGGTAACTTGGCAAAAGGCAAAACAATTCATTGTGTGCTCTCAGTTTCAACATACCTTCATTGTTTGATTTCGCTCAAAGTGATTTAATTTTCTCCTTTTAGGCACCAAAGACCAAGAAGGGATTGAAAGGTGAGTGGAGAGGTGGAACATCACCCTTAAGCCAAAAGCAATTCCTGCACCTTGGGTCCAAAAGTAGCTTACTGTGTATGCCTGAATGTTCCTGGCGGTTCCCCTAATTCTGCAGGCAGCTTTGGTCTTTTAGGGGCCTCCCTGTGCTGCCCCATTGGCCCTTAAAGTAATTCAGAAGTAAGGAAGGGCTGGGACTCGGGAAGAAAATCCTTCTCCCTGGCCTCTGTATCTAGAAGCACACAGCTGGGGTGAGGGCACTCCAGCTACGTGCGAGAACAGATTGAGTGCTCGCCCTCGGGTTGCCACATGCCCATGGGAAGGTGGCCGAGGACGTGTGCCTCCAGAGTAGTTCTGGGGGTTCTCAGGTGGACGGGGATTAGGGGGTGTTGGCATGAAAGAAGCTCGTATGTGCCAGCAACCTTGGACACTTTTCCTGAAGAAGCACACCGGGCTTGGTGCAGAGTCTGGGGGATCGGCTTGTCGGCCAGTGTGTCACACAGAGTGTAGGGTCTACCGAAAAGCTGCACCATCTTCCTTTGAGCAAATTGTTTTCAATTTCTACCCTGGGGTCTTTCAATAAGACGATGTGACCTGCTGCCAGAGAATGAGAAAGCATCTCGTGGCCAGTGCAGACAGCGCTAGGGCCCAAGGTCCAGGGTCTGCGAGCCCTGAGGTCCGGGGTGTGGTCTCAGGGTGGGAGGCCGTGAGGACCACTCTCTCCAGCCGAAGTCATGGCGCCACCCTTTCTCTTCCAGGCTCCATTGCTGATGTCCTTGGTGACCTCCTGGGGGACGAGAGTAAGTGCCTCTTCCTGGAATCCCCTGATTTAGGCTTGATTGTTTTTTTAAATTGAGATATAATTCCTATAAAACTTACCCTTTTAAAGTGTACATTTCAATGGCTTTTACTTATTCACAAAGTCGTACAACCATCACCACAGTCTAATTCCAGAGCCTTCCGTCCCCCACAGAGAAACTCCGTGCCTCCGAGCAGTCGCTCCTTGCGCTCTCCCCTCCTGGCCCTCGGGCCCCGCTGATCTACCTCCTTCCCCTGCGCATTTGCTGCTTCTGGGCAATTTCTGTACAATGGAATCGCGCAGTCCGAGGCGTCAGCATCTGGCTTCTTTCATTTACCATGTCTTCAGGACCCCTCTCTCCATTCCTCTCCAGGGCTGGGCGATGTTCTATTGCGTGGGTATTCCACACTTTGTTTATTCACTCATTAGTTGATGGATATTTGGGTGGTTTCTACACGGTACCTAGGCTATTATGAATAATGAATTAGGGCCATTCCTGCACAAGTTTGTGTGTGCTTTGTGGCAGGGGGATGTAAACCTAGGAGTGGAATTCCTGGACTGTATGGTAACTCTATATTTAACTTTTTGAGAAACCGCCAATCTACTCTCGGCAGCCACCGTGCCTTTATGCGCTCCCAGCAGCGGTGTGAGAGGGTCCCGGTTTCTCCACGTCCTTGCTGATGCTTGTTGCCATCTGTCTGCTTGATTCTGACTCTGCTAGTGGGCGAAAAACTGCTCATTGTGGCTTCAATGTGCATTTTCCTCATGTTGAGCATCCTTTCATGTACTTATTGGCTGTTGTTTATCCTCTTTGGAGAAGGTCTGTTCAGGTTCTTGGCCCATTTTTTAACTGGAATAATAAGAGTTTCTTATTATTGTGGGCACTAGTCCCTTAGCCTGTGTGTCCATCTTTGATGTTTCAAGGAACAGGGCTTCAGTGTCACGCAAAGCTCACTGCAGACAGCAGGGACAGCAAGGCTGAGGTTCCCCTGACCTGGCCCAGGAGACCCCACCAACACCAGCAAGGGAACGCACATGCCCTTGCGTTCCAGCTGACAGCTTTGGCCCTTGGAAGTGTGGTGTTCTTTTTGCATTTCTGTGGGGATGGGGTGGGAGTGGGTTCTTCATGTGTCGCCCGCTGGTGTTTAGGCTTGCCCTCCTGCTTGGAAATACACCGCCCTCTCCCCCATTCAGGTTTTTCAAGGGGTGACATTGGAGCCTGCCTATGGGGCCTGTTCCCTTCCTCCAAATGGGCCCTTCCTTCCATGGGAAGTTCTGAGAGACAGCTTGGGGAGGAGCTTGCGACTCCTCTCACCTTCACTCCAGTTCTCTGTAGCCGAATGACATCTTTTCTGTTTTCTTTTTTACCAGTGACACCACCTGAGAAGCCTGCTAAGCTCGCCTCACATGCCAGAGATAACGCAGGTGGAGCCCAGATGCTCCCTTCTGCAAGGACTAGAGCCAAGTAAGCACAGGCCTGGATGGGCATCCGCGACCCAGTTCCGTCCAGACGCTCAGCCTCCCCTCCCCCACTTTGCACTTCTGTGTGTTCCGCTCTCGAGGTCAGTGATCTCCTCATCCTCCCTTAGCTGCCCACTCAGGAATGGAGCCTGGGGGATGGAAGGTGGTCAGAACTGGCAGGGAGAAGTCCTACATTTGCTACTTACTGTGTGACCTTGGCCAATTCCTGAACCTCTCTGATCCTCAGTTTCCCTACCCTCAGAATAAGAGGATTGGCCTAGATTGGTGATGTTCAGGTTGTTTGTTCTTCTAAAGTTCCCATGACAATTGAGCTACAGGGCAGAGATTTTTGAATTTTCCAATCCGTCTTCATTTTAGCTGCAGCAGATCTGTTTTTCTCTTTTACCTGTTGTTTCCAACAGTTCGATTTTAAAGAGGCTGTACTCCTTTTTTAAAAAGTTAAAAATCACTGCACTAGGTGGTCTGTGAAATTCCTTTTAGCAGCTCTGTTCTCCCAGAGAAGAGTATCTCTCCCCGTTCACTTGGACTCTCTAAGCCCCCCTTCTTTAGACTCACCCAGTGCCCAGGGGATGCAGGTGGGTGCTGATGCCGCCCCTTTGCAGGTCCCTCCTGGACAACGATGCCTACGGCGCCATCGCAGACCTGGCGGGAGCTGATGCCGAGGTGAGCCTGGTCCAGTCCCTACTCCCCAGCCTCTGCCGATCCCCGGGAACAGTGAGTTGGGTGTGGTGGCCAGGGGCCGCTCACAGAACTGTTTGGAAGGCCTTGCAGAGCCAGTTTGTTCTTAAAGCAAAACAACGCCCAAGGGCTGCTGAATGCCCAAAGCAACATGCTTTTCCTTCCTACCAGTGAGATGACCTAGAAGTTAGAGCTCATGGCCGCTATGGGAGCCTGGACTGTTGCCCCTTGGAACGGTGCTTCCATAATAAACTCCACTGCTGCCCAGTCACAGGGGTGGGAAGTGGCGTGGTTTGAGTCCTGTCGGACTCAAAAAAGTCCAATCTGATGGGAGTGGTCTTTCCAGTTGGGAGGAAGTGAAAGCGGCAGCACATTCTGGGTCTCCACACCTGCGCAGGTTCGACTACAAACAACACCCAGCCCCACAGGAGGACAGAGCCTCCTGTTTATGCCCCATTGGCAGGGCTCTGCCCCAGCCCTAACAGAAGCAGCGCCTCGGGGGCCAGAGCCCTGAGCTCCGAAGGGCCCCGACTAACACGCGTCCTCCCCTCCTGCGGACTTAGGTTTCGGACGTCTCAGAGGCAGATCCTCAGGCTTTGCTGCAGGCCATGAAGGTAATGAAGCAGCTTGCACGGCCGGGGAGCCTGTGGGCTGGGGTGCCCATATTTCGTGCCAGGCCTTCATTCTCCCTCTAATTTCTCCCTTTAGAGATTGTGTTCTGAGCCCTTCCTAGGGCAACAGTGGAGCTCACCCATGAGCTATTGCCCTCCACCCCTCTGGGAGAGAATCCGTTTTCCTGGCCTATAGAGATTCACCCACCCGGAGACACATCAGGCCCCAGGCCTCTGGTGACATGGGACTGGCTCCCACCCAGAAACTCACCGGGCTGCGTCCCTTCCACTCCCTGCCCCCTGGGGGGAGAGATGAGGAGACTGCCTCCACTAAAGCTTATTCTTAGCCTGTCTCCCCACATCCCCTGCCGAGTCCCTCAGTACAGCTGTCCTTTGATCAGTTCAAGCTCCAAGCTAATCTTGGCGATGGAGTTTCAAGATGTAAATTCTGAAGACTTTTCTATCAAGTGGCCTGGCCAGAGTCTAAAGCCTCCAGTCGCCCTCAGTTCTCCCTCCCCTCCCTCCGGCAGCGCCCCCCTGCCGGACCCAAAACCCCTCCGGCTCACACACGCCGCCTTCCCTGTCAAGGCTGGGCGCTCACTCTCAGCCCTGTGGGGCCCAGAGGAACTGCAGTCTGTTCTCCTGGCTCCAGATTGAACTTCTTTAACCTCGACCTGAAATCACTTTCCCAAGGCAGCCAGCTGGGACCCTGCACAGAACCCTTGAGTCCCGACTCAGTTTTTGGTGGTGACTTTGAGTTTCTCATTCCAGAACCATGAGCTAAGCCCCCACCACTGCCCTTGCTTGCCTGTGGTTCTGTTTTCTTTCCCAGCTCACCTTTCTCTGAGTAGTTTTCTCATTTTCTTTTGTTTCCTCACAATTCTGCCCCTGGGGCACCAACTGCCCCCCTTACCAAAATTGTCATTCAGTGGGTCCGTATTGAGGGCCAGTGGCAGTCCTGGCTTGGTTCGTGTGGCTTTCAATGTCATCACCATGGAACATTCATTAACACAGAACGGCATTCTCTTCACACACTCCTGCCTCTCATTGCACTTCACTTCCCCTGACCCCGGCAGGCTAAGGAATCCAGATTTTTCCTTGACTTTGGACAAAAAGCCTCAGGCCCCCTCTCACTGACCCGCAGCCGTCCCTTAGGGGGCTGGGGGTCCTGCTTTTGGCTTCGTCTGTAGACAGCTTCAGCATTGACTGAGTCTATGAGGAGCTGCTGAAAGCCCCGCCTTGTCCTAGCACGGACAGCAGCTGCTAGGAGGTCCCAGCCTGAAACCCGGGCCTGCCTGAGGCTGGGTGTGTGAGGACTCGGAGGACTGTGCTTCGGTCCTGCCTCTGTCCTGCTCTGTAACCCTGTCTGGCCAGACCCCCATTTGTCCCACGTGGAAAAAGGCAACATCACCACCAGGCTGCTGGGAACATGGAGGTGCCTAGCAACCGCCAGCCGAGTGCCTGTGGGGGTTCCCCCCTCCTTCCTGCTTTTCCAGGATCTGGATGACATGGATGCCGATGTGTTAGGTCTGAAGAAGACTCATCTAGCCCCTAGCAAGAGTGCTGCAAAGGGTTCTGGGAAAGAAGAGCTGCCTAGCAACCCCAAACCTGCTGCTATGTTAACAGCCAGTGAGAAAGGTGAGTGGGACATAGTTCTTCAGATCTAAGGAGCTTTGGGGATGTGGAAGATGCTTAGAAGGAAGCTTTCCTGTCCTGAGGGTTTTCTCTGCCTGGGATGGAGAGGCTAGGAGCTAATTTATATGTGAGTGATGATAATGGGGAAGGGGGACAAGTTGAGCTTGCTTCCTACGCCTGTTCGATCCCCTAAATCCAGCATGGCAGCTCCTGGAGAAGCAGTCCATGTTTGAGTTAAGTTGGAAAATTTACGGCAGCCTGTGCCTCTCAAGCCCGTGTCTCTGGAGGGCCTTGTGACTCGGCGCAGGTGGCTTCCAGACTATGCTTCCCTGCCAGAAGCCGGTGAGAGTGGCTGTGTCCAGGGCCATAAGCCCTCAGCTCCACCTGGAAGAAGTGCAAGCCCTCACGGCCCCAGTCATGGAAGAACCATGGCCAGGACAGACCCAGACCCACGGCCTTGCCTTCTCTTTGCTTCCTGCAGGGGTTACCATTCCCACCATGAAACCATCTCCGCCTCCCAGCAGCTCTGGGCATCAGTCCAAGAAGTTTTCTTTTGAAGGTACCACAGGCCTCACAGTCATGCTTCTGGGACACTCCAATCTGGGGAGTGGAGTAGCCTTGGCAACACTTACTTGCTTGCCCACAGACAAGGAGCAGATGACCGGTGCCACTGATTTAGTTCCTCATGAGTCCAGGGAGGGACTAATTATGTGTACTCACCTGGATATCTGGGAATCTTATATGCAAGGACTTTGAAACCAGATATCAAACCGAAAATTTTATAGAGTATAGGAAAAATTCCTTTCCCTTCATGAATACATGGATGTTGACTTCTCTCCTGATGCCTAGGGACGTTTCCAGAAGGCTGTGCAGGCAGCAGAGTCTGGGGTCACAGGCAGGCCTGGCACAGCCACGCTGGACCGCAGGCCCCGGGTGCTCTCCCGCTCCCTCTCCCCGTGCGGCTGGTCTGTGTCGGAGCCCCTCACACAGGCCCCTCCCGATGTGCAGGGGCGCATTTCTCTATCAGAGCAGCTGATAACGGCATAGTAGCTCCCCCAGCGCAGCACAGGGCTCCTTGTCCTGAAGCGAGTGTGCAGTCTGACGTGTGCTTCCCCTCCGGCTGTGAGGCTTGGAAGACCCATTGGCAGGACTCCTCTCTGATGATGAGGAAGGAATCGCCAGGAAGCCTCCTGTGACAGAGAGTAAAGCAGCTTCTGAGAAGGGCCCGGCCCCAGCCAGAGATCAAGGTAGGGAGAGTGGGCTTGTTTCTTGTCCTGGGGAAGATGCTGTAGGCAGCCTGGTAACAGAACTTCCCAGTGCAGAGCCTTAGACCCACCAGGCACGTCTCAGGACTAAGATCCAGGATCAAAAGATGGTTCATCTCAGGACAGGGCCGTAGGGTGTGCAAGCCTGAGGGTGGGTCAGGTCCTATGGGCAAACCAAATATGTTCAATGCCTGCTGCCCGATCCAAGGGTCAAGGTGGCAGAGAAACATGTCTCTCAACCCATCCGGACATCACAGTTGAGGGCATTGTGCCCCATGTTCTGACTCTTAGGTCCCTCCATTCCTGTAACTCCTGGGGACACCCCCATCCGAAAGAAAGAAGAATTGCTCTTTGACGACGAGGACGACCTCATGGCCACCCTGGGGTTTGGAGACAGCCCCAAAGCAGAGAGGAGGCAGACGGGAGACCCGTAAGGATCCTTAGGAGGGGAGACTCCCTGGCCAGGCTGCTGCTGCAGGTCCCGGAAGAAGCTAGAGGGCGGGCACAGCGTGGGCGCCCCAGGAGCCCCTGGCGTTCACACAGCCCGCCCTGTGCTCCGTCCTGCAGGGAAGGGCCCCGCCCCGCTCGCTCCAAGCTGGATGAGCTGCTGGGTCGAGGCACTGCCTCCAAGCACCTGGCTCGTCCAGACACCGGGGAGCACCGGGAGTTCAAGCTGGATGGGAGGTACCAGAGGCCACAGGGTGAGGAAGTTTGGGGGGCAGGGAGATGGCGGGGCGGTGCCCAGAGCAGGTTTCCCCACAGCCCGTGATAAGAAATGCACGTTACGTCGTGACACGCACACATTGTGCACGTTTCTAACTAAGACGAGTTACGAAATCATAATCACCACATTTAATACTGCTATTTTTTATTTATATGCTACTTGATTTATAAATACGTTTGTTGCAACTCAATAAATTGGCTTCACCAGCTAATAGGTAGCAGCTCAGAGTTTGAAAACCACTGTGGCGTTTCTGAAAGCGTTGGCCCAGGGGTTACCTGCTGAATCGTCCTTGTTACACACACAACTAGCTCAGTGGCCTCACCTAAGGGATGTGGGGGAGGGCCCCACAAGTGCGTTCTTCGCGGCTCCCCGATGGCCTTCCGAGCGCTGGAGTGGAGCCCTGCCCCTCACCCCCGCCTCCTGCCAAGCAGCTGCCCCTGCCCGTGTCTTCCACGGCAAGCTGCCGGGTCAGCTTTTGAAAAACAGAGCCCTGTAGCCACAACAGAGTTGGACTCCCCTGCCCTAGGTCACAGGCTTCTTCATTCACAGACAAAGAAGATACCTGGGGCAATGAGGACTTCATCTTTGGGGCCTATCAGCCCACCGTGGGCTCCTCCGAGGGCCGGCAGTCCCGCCGGCAGTCGGTCAGGTAAGCGGGCCTGCAGGGGGCTTGGCCTTGGAGACACGCTGCCCCCTGGGGAGCAGACCGGCCTTGCCCCATCCCACCCGGCGGTCTTGTTGGGAGGCTGCGCTGCGCAAGGCTTTGGCTCTGCGGGGGCTGAAGGGAGAGGGAGGTTGCCCAGTCCTGGCAGTGCAGGCCACGTGGCACAGCCAGCCCCCGGGGGGAGCCTGGGCCCCAGCTCTGCTGCTGGCCTCCCTGGAGGGAAAAGGGGAGTTGTCTGAATTTGGAATTTTTCTCTCAGTGTATATTTTAAACTTTGTATTTTGAAATAATTTCAGCCCTGGCTGGCATGGCTCAGTGGACTGAGTGCCGGCCCACGAACCAAACGGTCACTGGCTCGGTTCCCAGTCAGGGCACAGGCCTGGGCTGCCGGCCCAGCGCAGGGGGCGCTCGAGAGGCAGCCACACATGGACGCTTCTCTCCTCTCCTCCTCCCTCCATTCCCCTCTCTAAAAATAAATAAAAATCTTAAAAAATTTAACTTAAAAAAATGAAATTCCAAACTGATAGAAAAGTTGTAAGAACAGTACAAAGAACTCCCCTACCCTTTGCCCAGACTCAGCAGTTGTTAACATTATACCATGTTGGCTGCACCAGCCTTTCTTTCTCTTTAAATAGCCCTCTGTACACACCAGCATTTGTTTCCAGTCCCAGTGTGTCCTCACCTTGGGACCTGCTGCCACTGGCCAGTAAAACACACAGGCAGTGACCGAATAAATGAACAGGGAACAAAATGACTTGCTGGGAAACCATTTGATCCAACTGGTTTTTGCCCTGGGCACAGGTGCCTGTGGTGTCATTTGGTCCTGTTCACTGCAGATGCAGTTGTCCCTGGTTCATGTGACAGACTTCAAGATGTCTGTGTGTCATGGTGTTTTACAAACCGCTCAGCTGCCACCACGCCGCCACCTGAACTGATGTGGGCCCCATGTTCTCGGGGCCTCAGGCTGGCCACGCCAAGCCCCTGGGCACCGTGACTCCTTGGCGTGGGCCTTACAGTCCCCCACCCCAGCAGCGGAGGGGAGACTGCTCAGGGGCTCCTGGGATAGGCTGCTCGCCCTTCCCTAGACCCCGTCCTCTCTGTCTTAAAGCAGGTTCTTAGCAGAAGGTGGCACAGACCTGAAGGGAGAACCAAGCTCCTTGCAGAGCACCCCAGTGACAACCAGCCCCCCCCACTCCCGGAAGGGAGGAGCTGACTGGTTGGGCCTCAAGGACGAAGACGAGGACCTGCTCCCTCCCTCTCCCACCAGAGAACCGCGGAGGGCAGGCCCTGCGCCCGCCACGCCCTTTGTGCCGGGTCCCGAGAGCCAGCGTGCTGCTCTAGGCCAGCACTCGGCCCCAGCGGGGCTGCCCTCCCCCTCCTTGGGGGCAAAACCGCCGCCCAAGGGCGCAGATTCCCCTGCCAAAGCCAGCCAACCTTCCCAGCCGGGACTGCTGGAGGAAAAAGAGGAGGAGGACTGGCTGAGCCACGCCTTGTCTCTGAAGAAGTCCCGAGGTCTGGCCAGGGAAGAGTACACTGTGGCCCCGAAGGGCCAGAACAGGGTGGGGACGGCTAGCCGACCCCCTTCTGGCAGGTACGGGCTTGGGCCGCGCCTCTCGGGGCGGGAGGACCGGGCAGGGTGCAGGGAGCAGCGCCTCTTCCCCACGCTTCCTCCGGGCGCTGCGCAGAGGGTGCCCGGCTGCTGTGCGGACTGGCGCTGACTCGACAGGTGGAGACGGAGGATGCCCTGATGTGGCAGACATGCGGTCACCTCTGAGCAGGGGCCCTGCCTACAGTGCTCGTGGGCTGGCAAAGCCCCAGTGCCCCAGTGGTCAGCGATTTTGTTGGCCTGAGCTGAAGGAAGTGCCGCGCATGTGGGTTGACGTCTGCTGGTGCTCTTTGGGGGTTTTAGAGTAGACACGGGCCAAGAGGCGACTCCCGGGGGGAAGCCATAGAACGACGGTCCTATGGGGCAGGATGGTGAGTGACCCCGGAGGGCAGGAAGGCAGAAGGGGCTGGAAAGGCTGGGATCACTCAGAAGGAGTGACAAGATGCTGTGTGGCCAGAGGAAAGGGGACATGAAGTGACAGGCCAGGGACGTCACTCAGCCCTGGGGTTGGTGTAAACGAGGAGGGCGGCTTTGACCTGGACCTGAAACCAAGCGGGGAGCTTCTGCCACTGACCCAAGGGCCAAGAAGAGAGGCAGGAACAGCAGACAGGAGAGGGGGAGGATCCCCAAGGACAGCTGGGCCTGGCAGGAGAGGGAGCAGAAGGCCTCCGTCTAAAGGCCTTGAACTTGAACCCAACTCTGGTGCCTATAACATCCCCATTGTCACTCCCGGGATTGTCGTCAGATGGTCACTGGGCACTCACTGTGCTGCGGTGGGCACTGGGCAGGGAGGGGCTTCTGGAAGGCCACCGGCTCCGGCTTGGGGGGATTCCCATGACAGGACGGTGGGAGGGGGTTGGGAGGAGGGTAGCAGCACAGCTTTATGCTTGGGCCTTGTCCCGGCTTTGTCCAGCCTAACCTGGACCTGGCCACCTTCACTTCAGCATTTGCTCCCTCAGCCAGCCTGTTGGCAGCGCCCGAGGGCTCGAGCAAGCAGCTGCCGAGGGGATCTCAGGACCAACAGCGCCAAAGCCGCCTGCGCGGCCTGCCGCCGTGGGGTATGCCTGCAGCCAGGGCCGAGGGTGGTGAGAGGCACGCTGTGCGCTGGACTGGGCCTCCCTGTGGCCTGGGCCACTCGTTTACGGTGTCTGATACCTTGTGTCCAGCGCAGTGAAGCCGGAGCCCCGTGTCTTTACCCACTGAGATCTCGCTTCAGGGAGCTGCCAGCCACTGGGCCTTTCTGGTCGATGATGTGAAGCTGCTGTTTTCCTTTACTGCCCCCCATTTCTGTGTCCTCAGGTCCCCCGTATCATGGAACCCGGCCACCATGGCCCTCTGTGAAGGTGACTCCAAGAAGGACACAGCCCCCAGAGACCTCTCCGGCACTGGTTTGTTTTCTGCTTTGTTTGGGGGTTAAATCTGGGTAGGAAAGAGGCACCTTGAGCTTCATTTGGGGCTCCCAGAAAACACCGATGCTGGAACACAAAAATACACACGAGACCTTGGGGCCTGTGTGGGCCTCCCTCTCAGTTCTCTGCTCTTGGTTTTTCAGAGCCTGCGGTGCGTTTCCCGAGCTCCCAGGAACCAACGGGGCCTTCTGTGCCTGTCCAGGTAGGGAGGGCGGACAAACAGGTGTAGGCCCCAGGCCCATGAAGCAGGCCTCCCATCCTCAGCGGCAGCCCCCGTGGTTTGGCGTGACAGCCTGCTAGGGTTCCAGAGAGCGCACCCTGGCTCCCCCTGCCGGCACGTTCTTACACCTGTAGCCTTGGCGGGCAGAGCTGGGTGCTAACGTGCCAGCACTAATAGGGAGTTAGAGGCGGCACCCAGGCAGGGGTGGCCAGAAATGCTCCAGTCAGAAAGCAGAGCCGCAGTTGTCTCAGTTCAACCTAGAAAGTCTCCTCCGTTCTCGCCATCCCCCCTCCACACCTCCATCTGCTCCCCAGGTGTGGTAGTCACCTCGGAGCCCTGGGTCTGCGGAGGCCTGGCCCCCCAGGAGCATATCCCTGGTAACCCAGGAGCCCCCTTGGAGATGGGGGTTGGTGGGCGAAGCAGGGCAGCCATCAACACGAGGGCAGGAAGCCTAGTAGAGGGGTCAGGGTCCTGACTTTTGTCGTCGTCAAGACTGCTGGGGCCCTGGTGCAGCTCAGCTGGTTAGGGCGCTGTCCTGATGCACCAAGGTCGTGGGCTTGACCTCCAGTCGGGCGCATGCAGGAAGCAACCAAGGAGCGCATAAACACGCGGAACAACAAATCATTGTCTCTTCCTCTCCCTCCCTCTCTCTGAAATCAATAAGTAAATTTTCAAAAATTAAAAAGAAAAAGAAAAACTGCTCGGACTTGGCTGTTTGTCTAGAAATCTGGACACTGCTGGGGAGGGTGGTGTTCTGAGGAAGAAGGGAGACTCGCTCTCCTAACCAGACCTGAGAGGGGAGGCGCACTGACCGTGGGACTCTCCAGCGCCTCTTTCCCAGGCTCTCGGTGTCGTGTCCTTGTGCCCATCTACAGCCCCAGATCAGGTGCAGGGTCTGGGAGGCCCGTGAGCAGAGGGCCGGAGGCCGCTGAGCTTCGCAGAGCCCCTGCCCCCGGCCGCCCTGGAATGCCCCTCACCCTCTCTGCAGTCCCTCCTCCCAGAGTCCCTGGCACAGAGCCTGCTGCCCGGCACGGAACATCAGAAGCGGCTCCTGGCAGCTCAGGTGCAGCTTCAGAGTGGCACGGCCGAGCTCCAGGCCGAGCTGCTGCAGAGTCAGGCCCGGCTGGCAGAGCTGGAGGCCCAGGTGAGGGTCGGGCGGCTGCCTGTGAGGGCGGTGTCGCGATAGGAAGGTGTCCCCTTGGGGGCTGGAAGGATTCCCCAGGGAGCCTGAGGGACCTGCCTCCCCGCCCTCCAAGTGGCCCTTCTTGCCCTCTCAGGTGCGGAAGCTGGAGCTGGAGCGGACCCAGCACAAGCTGCTGCTGGAGAGTTTGCAGCAGCGACACCAGGCTGACCTGGAGCTCATCGAGAATGCTCACAGGTACCCCCTCTGCCTGCAGCCTCCTGGGCTCTCCCAGGCTCATGGCCTGCCCTGGCCACTGTGCTCCCGGAGGCCCTTCGGGAGGCCTCCCTCGCCTTCTGAGCCTCACGGCTGGGCGTTCTGTTGGCAGAAGCCGTGTCAAGGTGCTAGAAACATCGTACCAGCAACGGGAAGAGCGGCTGCGGAGAGAGAATGAGGAGCTGTCTGCCCACTACCTGTCTCACTGCCAGGAAGCCGAGAGGGCCCGAGCTGAGCTCACGGCCCAGCACCAACGGCGCCTGGCAGCGGCCGCGCAGGAGAAGGACCAGGAGATGGAGCGGCTCCGGGAGCTGCAGCGGTGAGGGGGCCGCCCAGGCGGGCGGGGGAGCAGGCTTCAAGGGTACTCAGAGGACCTGTTTGCCATGAGACCCCCAGAGCCGTAACTCAGCAGGCTTTGAACCAAGGCCTGACCCCTTCCTTGCAGGTGAGAACCCAGGCCGGTACACTGACCTGGCGCACCCAGGAATGGGGGAGGGGCGCCCACAGGGCCTCACTGTTGGGGCCAGGCCTAGCGGCAGCAGACCACCACAAGCTGACTCATCCCAAGCTCATCCGCTCCCCTGCCGGACCCCTTGAGTCTAGTTACTAGGCCGACCCTGGATGCGGTTTGCACTGTGTGCCTGGTGGGCCGCTTTGCTTGCCTTCCTAGGTTAGAACAAAACTAAGAAAAGGTAAATAAAGGAGTTGGCTGGTGAGGGCAGAGCCGGCCTTTCAGCGCTGCTCAGAGCGCAGGCACACCTGTCTCTTCCTCTGTGGAAGTGCCCTTTGCTGAACAACAGAAGGGCCCCCCCTTAGAGAGTGGCTGTGGCATTGGTGTTAAGGCACCAAGACAGATAAGGCTGAGGAGCTAGGGAAACTGAGGCAGTGCCTAGGGGACGGGGAGGGGCGGCACGGCCCTCCCTTGAGGAGCAGCGCACAGCCCGCCCTGCCCGCGACCCTGCAGGGCCTCCATCCTGGAGATGCGCAAGGACCACGAGGAGCAACTGCAGCGACTGAAGCTGATAAAGGACCGAGAGATCGACGCTGTCACCAGTGCCACCTCCCACACAAGGTACTGGCGAAGTCCAGGCCCTGCCCACCCCAGGGGCAGGTGCTGGGGTCCCCAGGCCGGGGTGACCGGATCCTCCCCAGGTCCCTGAACGGCGTCATCGAGCAGATGGAGAAATTCTCCAGCAGCCTCAACGAGCTGTCCTCCCGTGTGGAGGCCTCACACCTCACGGCCGCCCAGGAGCGGGAGCTGGGCATCCGGCAGCGGGACGAGCAGCTCCGAGGTACCATGTGAGCCGCGTGTCCCCTCCTCCTCTCCCATCTCGGTGGGAAGATGGGCGGACACTGAGTGCCCTGTGGCCCCCCACCCAAGCGTTGCAGGAGAGGCTAGGCCACCAGCAGCGGGACATGGAGGAGGAGCGGAGCCGGCTCCAGGAGGTCATCGCGAAGATGGAGGCCCGCCTGAACGAGCAGAGCCGGCTGCTGGAGCAGGTGGGCCGTCCTCCCCCAGGGCTCCGCCGGGCATGTCAGCAGCGCTCCCAGCCCACCTCCATGGCCTCAGGATGGCCTCTGAAATGCCTCCTGCCCCTCCAGCCCCTGCTTCCGCCTCCCCACCTCCAGAAGTGCCCTTGCCTTCCGCAGCTGAGCCCTCTCTGCCCATCAGCTGCACATTCCACTTTCTTTTCAGTCACTGGAATCTGTCACAACAGGCGATGCCTGTGACATTGGGAGAAATGCTCTTACCAACGTATTTCGAGCTTCCTATATACTTTCACATACAAGAGTAAGCTTTACTCTTTAAAAACGCCCACGTCCCCTGGCATATGCGGTATCATGCCCACCCCAGCGCTTTGCCTGCTTGGTTGATGGGAGACAGGCAGGCTGAGTGCTGGCAATTCAGGGAGCAGGGATGCTGCTGCCTCTGGGGCCTCGCAGCGGAGGACCCTGAGCCGTTACAGTTCACCCAGCAGCTGGCCCTGAGTCCTTCTCGGGTGCCCCTCCTTTTGTATCTCTCTGGAAAGGAGGCATTTGTGGCATAGTGTGTGAGGCGCAGGTGGATTTGCACAGCAGTCAGGCTTCGCTGGGAGCAGGGGGAGCCCGCTCTCAGCCCTGACCTGGCCGCAGGAACGCTGGCGAGTGAGTGCCGAGCAGTCCAAGGCGGAGTCCACGCAGCGCACCCTGGAGGAGCAGAGGAGGGTCATGGCCCAGCAGATGGCCGTGGAGCGGGAGGAGCTGGAGAGGGCCAAGGTGAGGCCCGCCATGCCACGTTCCCCCGCCGTCCTGCCGCTGTGCCCCAGGACGCTCACCCCTCGCCCTCACGCCCTCCTCCCAGAGCGCCTTGCTGGAGGAGCAGAAGTCCGTCATGCGCAAGTGTGGGGAGGAGCGGCGGCGCCTGGCCGCCGAGTGGGCCGAGTTCTTCGAGCAGCAGAAGCTGAGTAAGGAGAGGGCCCAGCGAGAGGCGGAGCGGGCCATGCAGGTGGACACCCAGCGGGAGGGCACCCTCGTCAGCCTGGTCAAGGTAGGGCCCCGAGCCGCCAGCCCTGCCCCCTTCCTTCCCAGTCCTCAGTGTCTGCTCCTCCGTTGGGATGGATCGGCTTAGCAAAGGGCACAGCAACGGAGCATCGGGATTAAAACCACAATAATCGTGTAGTAACAACTTCATCTCACTGTCCTAGTTGCTCTGTACACATCGCTCACTCAATTGCATTACATCCCTATGACTTAGATATTCCAGAGATAAGGTAACGGGGGTTTAGAGAATTTGAGCCCAGGGTGACGGGTGGCACCGAGGCTTGGCCCCAGGCCTCTGTGACCGGACCCCCTAACCTCACCACCTCCTCCCAGAGTCAGGGTCAGGTGGAGCCACAGCAACAAAGCGGGCTGGCCAGAGGCTTCTCAAACCCTGAGCAGAGCCCACCTCAGCTCCCAAGAGGGTAATTCAGTGAAGGCTTTGCCATCTCCAGGAGCAGGCAGAGCTGAAGATCAGGGCAAGCGAGCTCCGGGCCAAGGAGGACCAGCTGGCAGCCGAGAGGGAGGCTCTGGAGCGGGAGCGGCAGGAGCTGCGGCTGGAGAAGGAGAGGGTCAGCGCCGCCGCCCTGCGCATCAGGCTCCGCTCCGAGGAGGTGGAGAGGATGAGCCAGGTGCCAGGCAGCTCAGCCCAGGGCGTGGCCGGGGCTTGGGAGGTTCCCTGACCTCAGCCGGCCTGGCTGACCCAGGTGGCCTCCCTGTAGGTGGCCTCAGAAAAGTACGAGGAGGGGGAGCGGGCATTGCGTGAGGCCCGGCAGGTGCAGTCAGAGCAGCAGGCCCGGCTGCAGCTGGTACGGCGGCAGCAGGAATGGCTGCAGCAGCAGGAGCAGCACGTGCACCAGGCAAGGCCCCTCCCAACTCTGGCTCCCCCCAGTCTGGCCCCACTGACCCCTCTCTCCAGCGTCCAGCTCTCACATCTGTGTCGTTTTCTCCGGGGACGGGGGACAGGAGCATCTGAGTCTGGCCCAGCAGAGGCTGCAGCTGGATCGTGTCCGACAGGACCTGCCCTCCGGCCTGGGGGGGCTGTTCTCCAGGGGCCAGGGCCTGGCGGCCTCCGGCCCAAGCGGTAAGTGGCTGCAGAAGGACCGGGCTTTGGCCCCGGGGGCTGGCTGGGTTTTTAAGTCACCTCGTACCTACCCTTTTACACAGGGAATGCGTGTTCATTATAGAAAAATAAATTTGAAAATAGAGGGAGGAAACTTTTTGTTTTTCACCCTCACCTGACGACATGCTTGCTTATTTTAGAGAGAGGGAAAGGGAGGAGAAAGAGAGAGAAACATCAATGCCAGAGAGAAAACATCTGACCAGGGACTAAACCTGCAACCCAGGCACATGCCCTGACCCAGCATCAAACCAGAAACCTTTCAGTTTACAGGATGATGCTCCAACCAACTGAATCACCCAGCCAGGGCAGGAGACCTCTTTTTAAATTCACTCTCTGCCCCACTCTCTAGAGAAAGCTCCTTTTAACATGTTGGTGCATAGCATGCTAGACTGCCGTGTGTGTGTGTTTAAAAACAAAGTTGACATCATATATGCTGTTTTGTACCTTGATTTTTTTATTTGTAAATAATACATGTGGAGCATGTTTTCATATCAGTAATTAAACATTGAACCATAATTTTTAATCAGTATGTTTCCATTATGAGGCTGTTCCATATTTTTAATGATTTTATACTGGGTGATTTTTTTAAAAAACGGTCTTATTTATTTATTTTTAGAGAGGGAAAGGGAGGAAGAGGGAAACATTGATGTATGGTTGCATCTCATGCGCCCCCTGCTGGGGACCTGGCCCCAGGCATGTGCCCTACACTGAGAATCGAACTGGCAACCTTTTGGTTCACAGACCGGCACTCAGTCCACTGAGCCACACCAGCCAGGGCTCCTGGGTGATTTTTTTTTTTTTTATCACTAAGATAAACAGCATGTCAGTGGAAATATTTTACATACACCTGTTCACCTTTGCTGATTCTTACCCTTGAGTAAGTTCCTAGAATTGGCCTTGCCCAGTAAAATCCCATGAGCATTTTCAAAGGCTTTTGAGAGTTGGTGGATACGCCCAGAAGGCTGGTCCTGGCTGCACCCGCCGGCGGTGAGACAGCAGGCCCCAGGGAGACAGGCTGTGGAGCCCGGCCCTCCCACCAGCTTCAGCCCCTGCCTCCCCCTCAGCCTTTTCAGCCGTGGCCCCAGCTCCCAGCGATCCTCAGGGCAGCCAGCCGCCCGCCAGCCTGGGCCCCTCGCTCCTCCACGCCAAGCTGGTGCTGCTGAAACACACAGCCGAGAAGGTAAGCAGCCCTGGCCTGTCACTGCCCCTCGTGGTCACATTGGTGACAAGCAGGTCAGGACACAGGCAGAGAGGAGCACATCCTGGCCAGGGGAGGGCCAAGCCCACCCCCGGAGAATAACCGTGCAGATTGCCTAGTGACCGTCTCTGAGGCCTGTCCTCTAGGCCCGATTCTGTTGCAAGCCGCTGCTTGTATTGTCTCAGTTGCATTTCAGTGACCCTGTGACAACAGTGGCAGCAGCCATGCCTTACAGAGTGCTTCCTGCGTTTCAGGCTCTGTACCGAAAACTTTGTGTGCATGATGAGCCTTTTCCCTCCCCCTGCCCTGCGAGGCAGGCAATGTTGCTGTCTCCAGCTCACAGACAGGCTTCATGGGGTGAAGCCAGGTGCTAGCGAATGGCCCCGCCAGGACTGATACCTGCTCTCCCACTCCAGTGTGTGTGTTCCCTGCCCCAGAGCCCCAGAGCCCCAGAGCCAGGGAGTAAGTGGGAAGGGGCCCCAGTAAGGGCTGGCGGGGCCACCACGCAGGGACCCGCCTTGCTGTCAGGCCCTCGCCCACGCCCCAGGACCTGGCCGGAGGGTGACTGCTCACCCAGCTCTGCCTTCCAGGACCGAGACTTCTTGGAGAATGAGCGGTTCTTCCTGGAGACGCTGAAGAAAGCCTCCTACAACATGATCTCCCATTCAGCCTGAAGGGCCCCCGCCTCCTCAACAGAGAACTCAGACCCTGACACTGTCCCCACAGCCGCACTGGCCGCCAGCTTCAGCGAGGGCCTGAGAACAGCCCTGCCTGTGGACAGACACCCGGGCCATCTTTCCAGGTGCACCACCTGGTGGCTGAGGCGGGCAGGTGCCACCATGCCTCCCAGGGTTCGAGGTGCAACGGCCCCAGAGGGGAGACAATGCGGAGAGCATCTCAGCCCCGAGACACAGTCAGCTTCGGCTGTGGTTCTCTTGTCCCACGATGTCCAGCTCAGACCCCAGGACCTGACTGGGCTCTGTGGCCCTCCCCTCCTCTACAGGCAGGTGGTTTGGGGGTCTTGTCACCTGGGCCTCTTCTGAGGCAGGGGTCTTCTCGAGGGATGCCGCAAGCAGCCTCCTGCCCTCCCCGCCCAAGAGGCCGGCAGAGGCTGCACCGTGCCCCTCCCTAATGGGGAGGGACGTCAAGTCGGACCACACGTTTTGAAGGGCCTTCTACCCTCCTGGTCAGGGACAGAGGCTGCTAGGGCAGGGGGTGCTGTGTCCAGCCAGAGTTTACCTCCCAGCCTGGAGCGCTCTCAGGACTCAGCTGGCCCTTCATGCTCTCGGGCGGGCTCACGCCAAGTCCCTGCCTTGTTCCCAGCTGCCTGAGTGGCTAGCTCGGCATGGACACTGGCCTTGTTGGCTTTTTCTAATAGGTTACCCCAGAGGCAGGGGATGGGGGGCACTGGGGGTGATGGAGGGGTGGGGGCGGGGTGAAGGGGGTACAGGGCACGAAGGATTCTCTTGTTCTGTTCGCCTGCCACGAGCCATAGCTGAGTGGGAATGAAGAGGACTGAGCGAGGGCCTCTGCCCTGGGAGGATACAGAGCACTGAGCAACCCCGAGGGACACACCAGAGTGCGCCCCTGCCCCAGGCAGTGTGGGCCCTGGCCAGCCGGACGGTGCCTGAGGGCAGGGGTGGGATCGCAATTACCTGTAAAGCGGCCTCTCTGGGCGGGCAGTTAATCGGGGTCCGAAGGAAGGAAGTGTCCCCGTGAGCAGGAAGGCAGAGGAGGGTGGGCTGAGTGGGCAATTTGTGCCTTGGTCTCAGAACAGCTTTCAGAGGGACCTTACTACTTTACCCACAATTTGTAGTCTTCATCTTGGACCCCTTAAATTGCTGTATTCTTTTTTTTTTTAATCCAACTACTGTTCATTTCTTGCCATACATGATTCTGAGATAGCCCTTCTGTTTACATTTTTAGTTTCACTCTATATATGTATCCACAAATAATACACAATATTGATTTGTGTATTTAAAAATCTGCTTAGCCCTGGCCAGGTAGCTCGATTGGTTAGAGTGTCATCCCGATATGCCACCGTTGTGGGTTCCATTCCCAGTCGGTCAGGGTGCATACAGTAATCAGCCAATGAATGCATCAATAAATGAAACAGCAAATTGATGTATTTCTCCCTACCCCCCATCATTAATTAAAACTTTTTAAAAAATCTGTCTAAATGGTATTGTATATATTGTTGTGCAAACTTTTTTTTCTCATTTTTTTACATTGATTCATGCAATTTCATGTAGCTCCAGTTTGCTGAATACTATTTCATTCTTTGACTATTGCACAATTTATTTATTCATTCTTCTGCTAATGGGCCCTTAGGATGTTTCCAGTTTTCCGTGTTATTTACAGAGCTGTCACAGACGGTGCTGTGTATGCCTCTTTGGCATATGTGTGAGCACCTCTCTAAGGTGGATACCTAGAAGAATTTCTAGGTCACAGACGATGTGCTTTACTAGTTAAACTTTACCAGTTATTGCCGGATTGCTCTATAAAGCAGTTGGACCAATTTACACTTGTAACTGGCAGCCAGGGCACAGGGGGAAAGGTGAAGAGAGGAAGGCAGATGTGACATCATGTGCAAAGGACCTGTGCCCTAGAAAGCAAAAGTGCTAAGTGAAGCTAAGACGGTGTCACGGAAGCTGGCGCATCAGGGCACGGGCTGGATCACCTGGGGTACCAAGTTCTACCTCCTTGGCCCTGGATCCCACGAACAACACAGCCCAGAAAGGATTTAAACTGAGGCACTGTCTTAACCAGGTTGCTTATGCTGCTGTGTGGATGGACACTAGTAAATTGGAGGTGACCAATAGCTAACACATATACCACGGCAAGTGATTTATGTAACTTTTTTTATTTAATCCTACGTACTATCGTAGGAACGAGGTACGTACTATCATTACCTGCTTTTTTCCCCAAATAAAGTAATGCAAAGGTACGAGGAAGGTTATATTCTGCAATTCGACCGCCAGCAGCCAGAATCAGTGTTCACACCCTTTCCCTTGCCCGGGGCGCTGCGCCACTGAGGGCTCAGGATGCCGCCTTCTGAGCGTGGGGGCAGAGCCGCACCGAAGCCCCGCAAAAGGCCGACCTCCGCGCGTCTGGGCAGCTGCCTGGCCCGGACTATGGCCCCCGGTGTCGGCCCGCGGCCGACCCCATGGTGGCCGGCCGCGGGCCGGAGCCCTGACCGCTCGCAACTCCGCCCCGTAGTCCACCGGGCACTTCACCCGCCAGGGACCCCAGAACCCGCAGCTGCCTCCGGCTGGGGGAAAGGGCGTCGGGCTCCCAGGAAGGAGCTCTGGAGCCTTTGCGGCGTCGCGGCTCTCAGGTCGCCGGCTCGGGGGCGGGGCCTGGCGGGGGCGGGGCCTCCGCGGCGCACTCGCGGGTCCGGGGTGAGGGCGGTGCCGACCTGAAGGAAGATGGCGGCGCCCTGGTGGCGAGCCGTGCTGGGCGGAAGTCGGAGGTGGCGGGGCTTCAGCACCTCGGGTGAGGGGTCTAAGGGTGTGGGGCTCTAGCAGGTTTCCCTTTAGCTTGAACCCTGAGGCTCGAACCAGAGCACCGCCCCCCGGCCTCCGCGGGGCCGGGCCGTTGTCGGCCTGACGTCCCACTCTCTGTCCGCAGCCGCGCTGAGCCGCCGGACCCCCCCGCTGGGGCCGATGCCCAACGAGGACATCGATGTGAGCAACCTGGAGCGGCTAGAGAAATACCGCAGCTTCGACCGCTACCGGCGCCGGGCTGAGCAGGAGGCGCGCGCCCCGCACTGGTGGCGGACCTACCGCGAGCACTTCGTGCAGGAGTCAGGTGCGGAGCGACCGGAGCAGGGGCCCCACCGGCGTCCTCCCCGAGCATTGGGGGAGGGGCCAGGTCCACTAGCAATTTTCACACCTGTTCGTCCCCCTGCTTGGAAAGTTCCCTCCCCGACTACTGGAGTTCCACCTCAGATATTTCTACTCCTAAAATCCTTTCTAGGCCAGTCCCCGTTCCCCCACCCCCCGGCCATTTGGAGTTAGAACGCCGCTCTGCGCTCCTAAAATAGTACGTAGCTCTGGCCACATTGCATCCGTACTTTCTTTTCGTTGCCACATTCCCAGATGGTGAGCACCCTAAGGACAGGGATCCCGCTTGTCTTTGCCATCATTGGATCCTTGCATCCGCATCACCGGCGTAGTGTGCAGTACTTTGCTGAATGAAATTAAAAGCTCTGGGCGAGGTGACTCGGAAACCCTGCCACGGAGCAACCGACAAGTGCATCCTTTTGGAACGCATTTACAGAGGCAGTGCTTACGGCCGTTAAAGGCACAGGCGTGGAGTTAAAGCCACGTCGGCCTCTTAGGAGTGACTTCCCTGAGCTTTATTCCTTCAACTATAGAATCAGATAATTGTGCCTGTGTCACAAAATTGCGAGGATTAAAGGACACAGTCTGTTGGGATTCCTAGACTAATCCATCCTTAGTAAGGGTTTAGTGTGTGTTAATTGTTGTCATTGTCTAACATAAACGGGAAGAAGTGTTGGGTTAAAAGTTCTCTAGGGCCTTGCCTACTTGGTGTGTGTTCTGGGACCAGGAGCAGGGCACTACCCAGGGGCTCGGTACAAATGTCATTTCAGGCCCCGCTCTGACCTGCGAATCAGAATAAAATTTGTTAAATTTCCCAGGTGACTTGTATGGTTTGTGAAAGTGTGAGAAGTGCTTTTTAAGTCCTTCTAGCTTCAGCTGTTCTACTGAAGACCCAGGTGTGTGTCTGCCCAGCTGCAAACAGGCTTGACGGTGATACCAACTGTACTTGGGAGGCCGTCTGCCTCCATTTCCCATCACCTAGACAGACAGTGTATCTTGGTTTAGGGATCAGAAAATGCAACCTCAAGATAATCCGGTTTGCTTAGCAACCAGACCCTGTTCAGGTCTGTGAGGCAGACTACACAGGAGATGAGTTTTGTGAAGTAAAGGGAAAGCTTTAGCAGCACATGTTGGGCAAGTGAGAGGACTGCGTAGAGACAGGTGGCTTTACCAAGGATTGATCCTACGTCCTCCAACACATCCTCCCCCCGTAGATCCCAAAGACAAGATTGATATTGGGCTGCCTCCACCCAGGGTCTGTCGGACCCAACAACTGCTGGAGCGAAAACGGGTCCTTCGGGAACTGCGGGCCAATGTGGAGGAGGAGCGGGCCGCCCGCCTGCGCACAGGTAAGCCCTCCCAAGGGAGGCCCTGGCTTTACCTCCACCCCTACCTTGCGTCCAAACTGGCATCGTCCCTTTCCAGGGCGCGTGCCCCTGGAGGCTGTGCGGGCTGAATGGGAGAGGACCTGCGGCCCCTACCACAAGAAGCGTCTGGCCGAGTACTACGGCCTCTACAGAGACCTGTTCCACGGTGCCACCTTTGTGCCCCGAGTGCCCCTGCACGTGGCTTACACTGTGGGTGAGGACGAGCTGATGCCCGTATACCACGGCAATGAGGTCACACCCACCGAGGTAAGAGCTGGCCTGCGCCCCTCCGGGCCCTGTGTGCACAGACACACCCCACGGGTGGGGGCGGGGCACAGACAGTTCCTTCTTGAAGGCAGTTCCAGAGGAGGTTTTCATGGTGGTTAAGGGCACAGGCATGGCATATATGTGGTCTGATTCGGAGTTTTGTTGCCCTGTACCTCCTCTTTGATTTCCTAGCAAATAGTATCATAATAATTACGAAGAAAAGGGCACAAAATGAAAGAAAACACAGCAGCATCCCGGCCGCTGTCTTTAGAGTGCCCTCCTAGCCCCTGGTCATCGCCACCTGGTCTCAGGAGAGGCAGCTCTGTGCGATTCCTTCTAGAACCCATCTCTGTGCTGGCCTGCCTCCGGAGGGGCTGTCAGGGTGTTTGGATCAGGGTGGGCTCTCCCTTCTCCAAGGCTCCCTCAGACCCCTGCTCTCCAGAAAGAAGGTCTCTTTACAACAGCCGTCAGCCCCTGGTGGGGGTGACAGCTCCCTCCTTCTCCCCCGCCAGGCTGCCCAGGCCCCGGAGGTGACCTATGAGGCGGACGAGGGCTCCACGTGGACGCTGCTGCTCACCAACCTGGGTGGGTGTGGAGGGCGCACTGGGCCTCTCTGCCTCCCTCACCTGCGGGAGCAGGGCCTGGGGAGCTGGGGGAGGGGCCGGGCGGAGAGCCCCAGCTCCTTCAGTGGGAGGGCGGGGGGTGGCCCGGCGCCCAGTCAGCGGGTGTGTTTATGTGCAGACGGACACCTGCTGGAGCCGGATGCCGAGTACGTCCATTGGCTGGTGTGAGTACCCAGGGCAGGGCAGCGGGTCCGGCGTGCAGGGAGGCCCTGGCATCGTGGGGAGAGGCGCACCTGAATTTCAGTCCTGGATCCACTGTGGATTAGCCTCCCTCCCCTGGAGTTAGCCCCTCATCTCGGCTCCTGGGAGTGTCAGGGGCCTTGTGATCCGGTGGCTGAAGACAGGCAGGAGGAAGGGCAGGCCACGGCCTGGGCCGCTCCCACCGGCCTCTCGGTCTCCCCGAACTCAATTCCTCACCTCTAAATCAAGGGTGATGCCTCCGCATTCCTTAATCACCCCAAGGTGCTCCGTGACAGTCAAATGGGAGAGGGACCATGAGAGGCCTCTGGAAGCTGTGAGCTGCCCAGGTTGGCCTGCCTGTTACATTCTCAGTGGCTTTTGGCTCTGAGCACCAGGCAGGTGACCCCAGCTTCGGGACTCCTGGGTAACCAAGGCCACTGGCTGGGAGGCTGGTTTCTGTCACTTTTATTCAGCGCAGTTACCGCCTGTGCAGCAGGACCCTCTGGGGCTGCTTCTCGAGGCAGGTACAGTGGCCACGCCGGTGCCAGGCTGGGCGAACACTCTGACCACCCCCCGAGCTTCAGGAAGCAGAGAGAGCAGCAGCTCAGAGGGGGCCGGGCGCGGTCTCCACCCGAATGGCCGTGGCAGCCCCACTGGCGGCACAGGGCCCAGCAAACGGGCTGTGGGGCTCTGCTCTCCTGCTGACTGCCCGTGGGACCCTAGGCTTCCGCCTCTGAGCCCCAAGGGCTCACAGAGCTCCGCCTCCCACCTGATGATCTGGGAGAGATCCTTTGGGGGTCTGTGTCCCCGGGAGTTGTTTCCGCCTCTGCGGAGTGCGGGGTTGGGGTGCTCCTGCAGCCACACTGCGGCCACTGCTGTGGAAAGGCTATTGACCGATTACTTTCTCTCCTGCCAGCACCAACATCCCAGGCAACAGGGTGGCTGACGGACAGGAGACGTGCCCCTACCTCCCCCCATTCCCTGCCCGGGGCTCTGGCTTCCACCGCTTCGCCTTCCTGCTCTTCAAGCAGGACAAGCTAATCGACTTTTCTGGGGACACCCGGCCTTCACCCTGGTAATCTGCACCCCCTCCGTGCCCCGCGCCCCCCCACAACTCCTTCCCGGCCCCAGGCCTGCTTCCCAGCGGTGGTCAGCCCTGCTCCACTCTCCTCTCTGGTAACGCAGGCCTTGAGACAGGCAGGCGGGAGCTGTGCTAGGCAGGCCCTAAGGGGCTTCTCAGGGCTGCCTGTGGGGCCGCGGGTGGGGGCGGGGCCCCGGGGCCCACTTCCCCTCTCAGATTCTCCCCGTCTCCTCCCAGTCACCAGCTTGCCCAGCGGACCTTCCGCACTTTTGATTTCTACAAGAAACACCAGGAGGCCATGACTCCAGCTGGCCTGGCCTTCTTTCAGTGCCACTGGGACGACTCGGTCACGCGCATCTTCCACCAGCTTCTGGGTGAGGGCACGCTGGGCCGAAGGAGGGGGTGGCCTGCCTGAGCCACAGACCTCTTCTGACCTGACAGGCGGCTCCCCCGGGTCACGGGGAGGGGGTCAGAAGTTCCTCAGGTGGGCTCCTGGGCAGTCCCGGGCTAGGCACAAGGCAGAGGGGCTTGGGCCAGCAGCAGCCCATGTCTTCCCCCGACTCTTGCAGACATGCGGGAGCCTGTGTTCGAGTTTGTGCGGCCACCTCCTCACCACCCCAAGCAGAAGCGCTTCCCCCACCGGCAGCCCCTGCGCTACCTGGACCGGTACAGAGACAGTCACGAGCCCACCTATGGCATCTACTGAGTGGCCAGTCTGCCCTTCACCTTGCAGAGTGCTCTGGGCCTCTCAGGCCGCGCGGTGGGGTCCAGGCCCTGCCTGAGGCAGCCCCTCTGCGGCCCTCCCCCAGGCCAGGGCCTGGGAGTGAAGAGACCCTCCAGGGGTCGTGGCAGGGGCGGGTGCGTGAATAAAGATGCCTTCCGCTAGACTGGTCTGGGTCTGTGTCCAGGGTAGCCAGACACCCCTTGCCCACCGGTCCTGGGGGTGGGAGTATTGCCTCACGGGTGGGAAGAGGGCAGCCTCCCACCCCAGGAAGTAACCCCTCACCGCTGCTGTCCGTGGGTGCCAGAGGCCCCGTGACCCTGTGGCTGAAGACAAGTCCAGAAGAAAAGCTGGACCCCCTCTGGAAACGGACCCGCCGGCCCCTGGCCAAACCGCGTGTTGCCGGCTCGGCCTGTGAACCCCAGTCACCTCAGAGACCTCGGGCACACGCCCTGCTCCGAGCCTGGGGAGGCCGTGCAGCCTCCCTGAGTGGTTAGGGTGTGTCTGCCCTCTAAAGAAAAGAGCTGCCTGGTAGCCAAGCCAGAGATCAGTGCACCTTTCCCAGGAAGAAACACTTGGCATTCAAGTGAGGGCGTGTGGTGGCTCAGTTGGGAGAGTCGCTCCAGCGGGGGCTGGCCTGGCACACCCTGCCCCCGGGCACGGGGTTAGCAGTCAGAGCCCGCTCTGCTCAGTTGCAGGGGAGCCACGGCTCCAGAAATGTGAGGTCCTGCCCTGGCTGGAGTGGCTCAGTAGATTGAGCGCTGGCTTGGGAACCGAAGGCTCACCAGTTGATCCATCAGGGCACATGCCTGGGATGCTGGCCAGGTCCCCAGTAGGGGTCGTGCGAGAGGCAACCGATACGTTTCTCACATTGAGGTTTCCCTCCCTCGCTTTCTCCCTTCCCCTCTCTCTCAAAGCAAAAATCTTTTTTAAAAAATAAAAGTAAAAATAAAGTTTCCATGACAGCCTAGAGCAGCAGAGGACCCACATGGAAGTGGGGTTCCAAGTGCAGTTGAAGAAGACTTTTGGTTTCCATTAAAGGGGGTGTGAAAAAAACCACAGGACTGGTCTGTCTCTTGGTGACCAGAAATTTCCACCTCGCTGTTTAAGCGTCGCCTAGAGAAGGGAGACGTCCTGGTTTGGCAAGTGCCTGAAACGGCTCAAGGGAAAAGCGCGGCGGAGCCCCTCGGGTCAGGGCTCTACCGCCGGCCTCTCCCAGTGCACTCTTCTCCGATCGCCAACCCCCTGGGAGGCTGGCCGCGGTGGCGTTAGACGTTCCGATGAAGGGCCCAGGTGCTGGCCAGGAGGACGCCGCAGGCCCACTGGGGTTTTTGTCTCTAGAGGCCAAGACCAGATCCCCTGCTCAGGAGCTGCTGCATGGAGGGTCTAGGGAAGCAGGATGGGGGTCTCAGGGTGGAACCAGGGAGAACTGGAGCCCAACTCCCAGCCTGGGGTTGGCAGGAGGCAGGCAAGGGTGGCTCTGAGCCTAGATGGGGGGAGTCTCAGGGCTGGCTTGGGTGCACTGCAGGCGACGGGCGCGGGCAGTGGTGGCTGGTCCGGGTCCTCCAGGAAAGCCTGTCACCGTTTTCCCCCTAGGCGGGCCCTCGCTCCTCCCCGCCGCACCGGCAGGTTCGCGGCTCCTTTAAGAGGCCCGGCCCTCCTCCGGGGTGGCTCAGGCCTGCCCTCCTGCCCGCCGGCCGCCGCCGCCATGGCCAAGGAACTACTGGAGGACACACTGACGTGCGCCATCTGCCTGGGGCTCTACGAGGACCCGGTGACTCTGCCCTGCGGCCACAACTTCTGCAGGGCTTGCATCTGGGACGGGTGGGGTCGCCTGGAGAAGGCTTGCCCGCAGTGCCGGGAGCCCTTCCCCGAAGGCGCTGACCTGCGCCGCAACGTGGCGCTCAGCGACGTGCTCGAGGTGGTGCGCGCCGAGCGCCGCCAGGCCCCCGGCCCCGCCGCGGCCCCACACCGGGACACCGGTGCCGACACCGTCGCTCGCTGTCCCCTGCACGGGCGGCCGTTCGAGCTCTTCTGCCGCACAGAGGGCCGCTGTGTGTGCAGCGCGTGCACCGTGAGCGTGTGTCACTTCCACGAGAGGGCGCTGATGGACGCTGAGCGCGGGAAGCGCGAGGTGACACGCCGGTCGGCGGGGCGGGGGGGACCCAGTCTGCTCTCTGTGCGCGGGCAGCTTCAGCAGGAGGCAGCTTTGGGATGTTTTTATTCCAAGAAGATGGTGGTCAGAAAATAGATACTTGGAACAGAGATTTTTTGAGCTGGGTACAAGGCCAGGGTTATGAGATAGAGTAGCTGAGGCGTAGCAAGGCGGCCAAGGAGTCCAGATACCTGCGAGTTGGAGGGCAATCCGGGTGGCCGCCCAGGTATTAGGGAATGAGGCCCGGATGATGCTATTGGTGGCATGAAGAGCAAGCATTAAGCATTAAGCGTGGGAGTTTGCAGCCAATGACAGCAGAGGGGGCAGGTGGTACGACCAGATGACCCATGTGGCACTGGAACTTAGATTTTGCCAGAGGGACGGCAAGTGATGAGGGGCTGCGTGGGTGTCCTCTGGGGGCCAGGCAGGCGAACCAGGCAAGTCCGCCTCTCACTCCCCACTCTGGGTCTGGAAAAGGGCTGAGCGTTTGACTTAGGAACATCTGATGACTTCAGCCACACTGTCGACCTCTGTCACCCATTTCCTTACCTGGAAGAGGAGAGGCTGCACCATCCTTCCTCACAGTGTTGCTGGGAGGGGAGGACTCAAGACAGGTTCTTGACCAAGTGCAGGAAACCAACTCCTGGGGGGCAGGGGAGGACAGAGCTTTTCCTGCTCGCGGGAGACTACATTTTGATCTTCGAGGGGGCACAACCAAACAGGAGTGCCCTCTTCCCCTCGTGCCCAAGGCTGGGCCTCGGCCCTGGCGGGACACTCGGCAGAGCCGATCTTACGTGTGCATTGCGCTGCGCTCGCATCAAACTTTGGTGCTCTGGGCCACCCCCGCTTCACTGCAACGCCCAGAGAGATGGGGTTCCAGCCCAGAGAGAGCTGGTGCTCTGCCGCAGGCTGCTCGGATGGTAGGAGGGACTGGAAGTCGGTCTTCAGCACAAGGCTTCTGCTCTGTGCATGCGCTGTCCTGCTCCAGCGGGGAAGGGGCCCTGCCGGGGCCTCCCTGGACCCCGACCCAACCTCCCGGAGCTCGGACCAAGGCCCCGCTCTGTGTGCTGGGCCACCGGCCAGCCTCACCCGCGGCAGCACGAGCAGAGGTGCTCAGCCCATGCATGCGTTTGTTGATTGACTGAGGGCTGCTTGGCAGCCAGTCCTGGCCCCCTCATGTCACTTGTCCCCTGTCCCCCGGTGGGCACCACAGGCCCAGCTGAGAGCCATGCTGGAGGTTGCCCGGCAGCAGGCCGCCCAGGCTGAGAGCCAGCTACAGGAACTGCAGCAGCAAAGCAGCCAGATCCAGGTACAGCCTGGCCCGCCCTGCCGCTGCCTCATGTTGTGTCTGCCAGGCAGCTACCGGGTGGTCCCTGGGACACAGGGCAGGAGGTGTGACCTACCTCGAAAATGCTCCCTGAAATCAGGGAGTGAGGGGCTGAGAGGGGGCAGAGGGCCCAGGAGCCGCAGCCCTCACACCCACACCCCTCAGCCCAGCGGGCAGCTGTGGCCCAGCCTGCCTTGGCAGGGGCAGGGCCCTGGCCACCCTCGCCTCCCTCTGTGCCCATCCAGAGCTCGGCCTGCACCCTGGCTTCCAGGGTCTCTGGCAAGTTCAGCTGCCTGATGCAGGCCCTGGAGATGCGTCGGGACTTGGTGCTGAGGGACCTCAACGTGGCCAAGACGCGGGCACTGGCACAGGCCCGGGAGGAGGAGCAGCGACTACGGGACCACCTGGAGGCTGCGACTCGCTTCGACCGCAGGATCCAGGACCTCCTGGGGCAGCTGGACGACCGAACCTTCCTCCAGGTACCAGAGCGAAGGGTGGCAGGTCAGGGGACCACCGCGCCTGCCCCCGGCACCCTGGCTGACTGCACTTACCCCCGGGACTCAGGAATCGCAGCTCCTGGCAGCCCCAGAGCCCCTGGGGCCACTGACCCCTCCACAGTGGGACGCAGATAAGCAGCTGGGTGGCCTGAAGGAGTGTCTGAGCCAGCTTTGCGGCCTCCTCTTGGATGAGGGTGGCTCCCACGGGGCACCAGCTGACACTGCTGACTTGGTTCCCATGGGTAAGGAGGACCTTGATCTCTTCATACCCCTCCAGGCCCAGAGGTCCCTCCCGCTGGGGGTGGGAGTGGAGTCAGCCGGCCGTGGGCTCCCTTCCTCATCCCTCCCCAAACTGCTTTGCTCCCTAGAGGCCCCAGGTGCTGTGGCATCGGTCCCAAGCCCAGTTTGTCCGCTGAGGAGGAAACTCTGGCAGAGTAAGGCGGCTAGGCACGTGCGCGCGCACCTGTGTGTGCGAGTGCATTGTGCACAGGTGCGGGTGTGTCTGTGTCCACATGTGCACTGTGAACACACGTGTATGTATGCATGTGTGTGTGGCACATGCTGTGACTGTCCCGTCCGCGCCCTTCCCTGGGTCTGTCCTCACCCCCCTCCCTTACACACCTGTTGCAGGTGGAACCAGTACGGTGTTTCAGGAGATGGCCAGGCTCACAGGTCTGGAACCAATTGCGGTCCTTCCACCGCTCTCAAGCTGGGTTACCTTTCTGGACCTCCGCCTTCTCCTCTGAAATGAGGAGATTGTGCCCCCGAGGTGGCTGCGAGGATGGGATGCTGCAATGACATCCGTGCGCGCTCAGCTTGCTGCGCGCCTGGCAGGGGTTTCGGGTCCCTCAGCGAGCTTCCGCTGCTGTCTCTCCCCTCTGGGGACAGGCAGGCGGGCGTGCACAGGCACCCTGCCCGCTCACTCACCTTCAGTCCATCTCTCCCCAACAGATTATCGCAACCTGACCTTTGACCCAGAGAGCGCCAACCGCCACCTTTACCTGTCTCAGCAGGACCAGCAGGTAAAGCACTGCCGGAAGCCCCGGGGCCCGGCCGAGCCGCGCAGTTTCGAGCTCTGGCAGGTCCAGTGTGCCCAGAGCTTCCAGTCGGGACGGCACTACTGGGAGGTGCATACATCCAACCACTCAGTGACGCTGGGCGTCGCCTACCCAGAACTGACGCGGCAGAAGCAGGGGCCCTACACAGACAACATCGGCCGAGGGCCCAGCTCGTGGGGGCTCTGCATCCAGGAGGACAGCACCCAGGCCTGGCACAACGGGGAGGCCCGGCGCCTCCCAAGGGTGTCGGGGAAGCTCCTGGGCATGGACTTGGACCTGGCCGCCGGCCACCTCACCTTCTACAGCCTGGAGCCCAGGGTCGAGCGCCTGCACACCTTCCATGCCATCTTCACCCAGCCCCTCTGCCCCATCTTCTGGCTCCTGGAGGGTAGGACCCTGACCCTGTGCCACAGGCCTGAGGCCAGGCTCCCTCCAGGGCTCCAAGAAGAGACCTCCGGGCTTACCTGAGGAAGGCCCGGATGGCAGCCTCGCCTGGGGACAGGTGCCAGCATGCCTGTGTGCCCAAGAGCTGCCTAGCCCCTGGCCTGGGGACCTGAGGCCACAGCTGTAATGGGACTGGCTGTTGGCCAGCAGACCGGCTCCAGCCTAGGCTGAGGCACTTGGGAGGGTGGGGAGGACACCCCCAAACAGGAGTTTACTTTTCCAGCCTTTTTGAAGGGGATAGGGACTAGGAATGGAGTAAAAAGGGGGGGCCCTGCCCAGGCAGCGCCCAGCTCTCGGAGCTGCCTGGGTCTGAGGCCAGGGCAGCGCACAGGGGCCCCTGGTCCTGGAGGAGCGTGTGTGCCGCGTGGCGCATGCGTGGTGTGCAGCCCACTGGTACACATGTGAGCTCCAGGGTGCCTCCCATCGAGACAAGGTAGACCAAGGAGCATCAGTGCGTGGGGAAGCCAGCCACTAGCAGTTCCTAGAGAAAATCTGGAGAAAATGGGTTTTTACCTCTTCCTTGCCTGTCTCTATTTCTTTTTTTTTCCTTAACGTTTAAGCGCATTTTGGTCGCTTTTATTCTGGTCATCCTTGTGATGGCCATTCCTTAAAAATTGTGTTTTCTGCATTTTTTCACTTGATAAAAACTGTTTTGTGAATGTAAACAGTCGTTCTAATGCTTCTCAGGAGTTACTCACTCCTTATTGGACACTCAGGTTGTTTTATTTAGGGCTATAAAAATATGGCCACAATGAATATTTTTGAGCAGGGAGCTTTGTACAAGCTAAAATGGAATTGCTCGATAGAAAACCGGTGAGCACTTGAAGATTTTATTTTTAAACCGAAGGCCAAATGAAGTGCCCGTGAGTCAAGTTGCTCCCCCTCCCCCGTCGCCCCCTCTGCCCCTGATCGCATCAGTGAGCCCCTCGCACCTCCGCCTGGGGCCCCGCCCGGCTGTGGGGAGCAGGTGCACTGATGCGAGCAAGGGCCAGCGCAGCGCCAGCTGCCTCTCTGCGGGATCTCGCTGTTGAGAACGTGGTTCCACGAAGCTCCCTGTGTGCGGCTTGGCTTGTGTTCCCGGCTGTGGGGCTGCTGGGTCAGAGGGCAGCTGCAGTTTCCTTACGGAACACATCCCGCTTCTTGATCTGGGTGGCGATTACAAGGATGTTTGCTTCATAACTTTTTACACTGCACATAAAAGTGTTACATACTCATGTGTAAATATTTCACAATTGAAGTTTTTTAGCCCCTAGACGGGCAGCTCATTTGGTTAGTGTCTTCTCGATATATCAGGGTCACTGGTTTGATCCCCAGTCAGGGCACATACAAGGAGCAACCAATAAATTGATTAATAAGTGGAACAACAAACCAGCGTCTCTATCTCCCTCAAAAAAAAAAAAGAAGTTTTCTAAAGGATAACACATGTAAAACACATACTCAAAAAAATACACAGTATATTTGTATTTGTTAAAAATGTACCTCCCTCCCACGTTGCTATCTGGCCTGGTCGCTGCCACAGTTGCAAACTCCATCTCGTGGCCTTGCTTCTCAGCAGCGTGGCTCTCCGGTCAAGGACAGGGCCAGGCCCCCGGTTGGTGCAGCCTGGGCAAGGAGCCCCCCCTTGGGCTCCTAAGCGGGGGAGACCCCCAAGCTTGGGAAGTGGGTTCGAACGCTGGGCAGCCCGGCAGAGTGAGGGGAAGCAGCCGGGTTAAGGCCCCGCGGGGAGGGGGCAGGCCTGGGCAGCCGTGCGGCCATCCCTGCTGAGCACCCCACAGCTCGGGCTGCAGCCATCCCTCCTGGCCCCAAAGTCCCCGACATGGGTCCAACTGGTTGAGCCCATCCTCCGAAGGGACAGGAAGGAAGACTGGCTCCCTCTTCAGTTCCACAGAGAGAAGTGTTTGGGGTCACTTGTTTCACGAATTTGCTTTTTTGTTGGGTGGTCGGTCCTTTCCGTGTGGTTCTGTGGGAGCGCCCTGTGTTGTGACTATTAACTGTTATGCCATATGACAAACTGTTACCGCCATTTCTGCACAGTGCCATGCAGCAGCACTTCTCTTGGCACAGGGACAAGACATCTACAAATCTCTTGGAAAACTTCGCAGTAAATCACGTGGTCCGCTGGAGTCTGGCAGAAACATACCCTGGTAGGGAGGGACAGGAAGCACAGGCTCAAGGTGTCACATTTGGACAGCCAGTGTCTCCCCCACTGCTCACAGCCTCTGGGCTTCTGGAAGGTGGAATCAGGATGGACACGCGGGACGGCAGGGGAGGGCAGGAGAGGTTTCACACGACAGGGTCCCTCAGGACCTAGAGAGCCAGTCACAGTGTAACAACTGCGGCGCTAGGTGGGGACTGGAAATATCGGGGGCGGGGTGGGGGACACTCTGTAAAGTATATGATTGTCTAACCACCGTGCTGTACCCTGGAACTAGTATAAGATAATATTAAATGTAAACTGTAAGTGAAAAAAAGTGTAATAAAAAAAACTAAATAAAAGACGGGCTGAGGGGCCAGTGGAGTTGGAGGACGTGGGGTCGGAGGTCAGAGAGGTGAGACGCCGAGAAGCAGCTGCTCCGTGGGAAGCGGAGCTTCGGGGAACTGGCAGCTGGAAGGTGGGGGAGCCGGGCCTGCGAGACCCGGAGGGGAGCGGATTGCACCCCAGAATTCCAGACCAGCCAAGCTGTCGGTCCAGGGCGAGGGCTGAACAGAGGCCTTTGAGGGCACCTCCACGTGCAGCCTCAGGAAGCTCCCAGGGGACTTTCTCAAAGGAAAGAAGTAAATCAGTGACAGGGAAGGGAGACCTGGGATCCAGACCACGGAATTTGGCACGGAAGGGAAGTGAGCAAGAACCTAGGTCTCCAGGAACCCGAGTGCAGCGTCCACACACAGGCTCCGGGCTCCGAAGACAGGCTGTAGTGACACCGGGGGCGGGGAGCTGCCGGAAGAGACCCACGGTCCGGTCCGTGGGAGCAAGAGGCCGGAGTAGGCGGGGCCCGGGACTGCCGGTTTTTATTATTATAAGCCTCACTAAATTGTTTACTTTCTAAAATACTCTAAAGATGTTATTTGAAATAAACACACGTCCAATTTTTAAAAAGCTCATCAAAAGCATTGCAAAATAACATGGCTTGGGTCCCACTTCAGATTCTTTCAAAGATGCAAGCGAAGTTAGGATGACTTCTTCATTGCTGTCCTTGGCCAGGCTGCTTTTGCTTGTTCTTTTTTGTTTCTGTTCAACCTTTTTTTTTTTTTTTTTTTTTAAGCAATACTGTAGCCAGACAGGCTCACATATGAGGTTTAGGATTATTTTCAGCTTGCACCTTCTGGGCTTAAATTCCTCCTCCCCTGCAGGATGAGTTATGTGACCTGCGGCAAGACACGGAGCCCTTCGGCGGTCCATTTCCTTACACTTCGCAACATGCTTGCGAGGGCAGAGGGGAGACGTACAGGCGTGGACATGCTCCAGCAGAGCTCAGGGTGCCCTTTCCCCTTAAGGGCCAGCTCATTTAAAAAAGAATGAATATATTGGGCAAGCACCTTTAAAGCTATGATACTGCAAATGAAATACCAAAATGCCACCACCCAGACAAATCAAATCCCCACGTCTTCCTGGGGGAGCAGATTTTCCTGAGCAAGCTGTGGCGGGGGGCAGATGGCCAGCTGGGACTCGCCCCTGAGCCCCCCCACCCCAAGGGGCACCCCTGTTGCCTCCAGAATCAGGCACGTGGTCTCAGCAAGTCCAGGTGGCCTGCCTGCCAAGCCGCGGAGCAGGGCGGTGCTGGTGCCCGAGCTTCTGAGCCGCTCTAGTCTTGGCAGACAAGGGTCGGTCATGATCAAGAGCTCCCTGTGGAAAGCAACGTATGGAACTCATTACCCGCCTCCCTGCCAAACGGGGCACACCCAGGCCATCTCGCTCCACTACTCCTTCTGCTCTGACAGTCTCTTCCCGCCCTAGTTTCTGCTTGCCTGGGTCCTAGTGGTCAGTCCACAAAAACCCAGCTCAAATGTCGCTTCCGGGAGGGCCTGCATGGGGCCCCTTCCTTTCCCATGAACCCCTAGGCAGGAGCAGATGGCACCTCTCTTGCAGTATTTAATAGACCTTAGTTTTCTTCTTTCCTCCCAGGGAATGTGTCAGGAGATGCTGATTTTATTTCTAAATTAGACATTTCTTTTTTTAATTAAACATTCAAAACCTGGAGTCTTGGGGGTAAGTCCGTCTTCATTTTCATTGTCCTCTAGCCAAAATCTAGTGTATCTCTCTCTTCTGAATGGGAGCACACATCACAATGCTATCAGCAATACCTGTGACTTGTCACTAATAGAAATCGGGGACACTTTCATAGCATGTTCCAGTGGTGATAGAGAATTTGCAACACCGTTTATGTTCATCCCTGTTCAAACAATACGGTAACTGTTAGGCCTCCAGCAGATCTTGTTATGTTTTGTGTTAAAGACACACATATGTAACGACAGAACAAATTTGTTTTCTTAATATTTTTTGTACCTGTGTTTCAGTGTTAATTGGTTTCCTGGAATCCTATGCATTCTACTTTATACATTTAAAAGCATGGCTTTGACTTGGCTGCTGTGGCTCAGTGGATTGAGTGCTGGCCTGCAAACCAAAGGGTCAGCAGTTGGATTCCTGGCGGGGCACAGGCCTGGGTTGTGGGCCAGGTCTCCAGTAGGGGGCTTGTGAGAAGCAACCACACATTGATGTTTCCCCCTCTCCCTTCCCCTCTCTCTAAAAATAAATAAAATCTTTAAAAAATAAACTCACTTATTTAAAAAAAAGAAGAAGAAGAAGAAGAAGAAAAAAAAAACATGACTTTGAAAGGGGCTCTGCAGGCTGCCCCAGGCTCTGAAAGGGGAGGGGCACCGGGGGCCGGGGTGGGGTGGGGACAGGCGCGACCCCAGTGCTGGACAGACCGCTTTGGCGTCTCATCAGCAGGAGGTTTGCAGGCCTCTGCTTAGACAGATTTGCCTCAATTGTTCTGGATTTTTTTTAAAGATTTTATTTATTTTTATTCTTAGACAGAAGGGAAGGGAAGGAGAAAAGGGGAGAGAAGCATCAATGTGTGGTTGCTTCTCGTGTGCCCCTCACTGGGGACCTGACCCACAACCCAGGCATGCGCCCTGACTGGGAATCGAACCGGCAACCCTTTGCTTTGCAGGCCGGCATTCAATCCACTGAGCCACACCAGCCAGGGCTTGCTTTTTTTTTTTTTTTTTTTTTTTTTTTTAATCTTTAGCATAGTTATGTATTTAAAGAAAAGTTATGAAGATAGTTCAGGGTTCCCCCATACCTCACTCCCACTTTCCCCTTTTGTTAGCACGACTATGGTATACTCATCACAATTCAAGAGCTTACATGATTACATTCTCATTTTTTATTCCACAATTTATTCAAATCTCCTTACTTTCCCCCCCCAATGACCTTTTTCTCTCTCAGAATCCTGTCCAGGGTTACACATCATATTTAGTCGTCATGTCTCCTTAGTCCTCTCTTGGCTGTGACAGTGTCTCAGCCTTTCCTTGTTCTCGATGACCTTGACCATGTCCCGGAGTACTGGTCAGGTATATAGCAGACTTCTTCTCAACTGGGACTTGTCTGATGTTTTCATTTTGATGAGAAGCAGGGTATGGGCTTTTTGGGAGGAAGACCACCTCCTATCAAGGGTGCTTGTTATCAACAAGACGTATCGTTGCTGGCGTTGAACGTGACCCCCCGGCTGAGGCAGCGTCGGCCAGGTTTCCCCGGGCCACATCACCCTTCTGCTCCCCTTGGGAGCAAAGTATTCTGCACAGCCCCCACTCGACGGGAAGTGAGTGGTGGGAAGTGAGGTGCCTACGAAAATTAACTGGAATTCTTCTGAGTGGGAAATCTGGCTATTTTCCGCCAGTTATTTATTTATCGAGTCATTTATATCAGCATGGAGACATGGGTGTTTATTTTATACTTTGGGTATAATTCAATGTTACTTTAGTTATTTTGTTGCCGTTCTATTTTTGTAAACTTAACATTATTAAAGTATAACTTACAGACAATAACATGCACCACTTTAAGCGCACAGTACGATGAATCTCAACAAATGCCTCCACTTGGGGAAGCCCCACCCCTTGCCCCAGGCACGCCCAGGTGCCCACGAGTGTCCATGGAGCGGAACTGAGTTCCTCAGGCAACGGCTTGGTGGACGACATCAACTTCCCATTTCATATTGGGGAAAGTCCAAGTTCCCCACCAGGGGTAAGGGGAGCCGCTAAGGGGTAAAAGCGTGCGCTCTACAGCCGTTATTTTTCCCTGCAGTCAGCAGCTCAGGAACTTTGCTAATGGTGCAAAGAAGGGGCTGGAGGGCAAAGGTGCCGGCGTGACACGGTGGCGAGCCCGGCCTGCCCAGGCCTGGGGGAGGCGTGGAGCAGCAGTGGAGGGGTGCACTCCTTCCCAGCTTCCTTTCAGGGTGCTCCCCTTCGCACTCTCTGCCCCCCCCCCGCCCCCTCTCTCACACACCTTGCAGCAGATCGTGCCCCCCGGCCCACGGGCCCCGGAGGAGCCTTCGCCCCCGAGCCCCGCAGAGGCAGGCGGTGCCCTAGAGGTCGCCCAGCGCCGTCAGAGCTGAGGCCGGGTGTCGCGAACCGGCGGGCCGGCGGGCGGGCCGGTGGCGCTGAGGGGCGGTCCGAGCTGAGGACAGGCGGGGACCGGACCCTTGGCCTCTGTCCCAGGGGGCGGCGCCCTGGCGCGAACGGTCTGGTCCCTCCCAGGCGGGAGCAGAACAGGCGGTGCCGGGGCGGCCACGGAGCCATGGACGGCAGCGGGCCCTTCAACTGCCCCATCTGCCTGGAGCCGCTGCGGGAGCCGGTGACGCTGCCCTGCGGCCACAACTTCTGCCTCGCCTGCCTGGGCGCGCTCTGGCCGCACCGCGGCGCGGGTGGAGCCGGCGCATCCGGAGGCGCCGCCCGCTGTCCGCTGTGCCAGGAGCCCTTTCCCGACGGCCTGCAGCTCCGCAAGAACCACACGCTGTCCGAACTGCTGCAGCTCCGTCAGGGCTCGGGCCTCGGGCCCGGGCCCGGGCCTGGCCCCGGCCCGGCCTCGGCCCCGGCCCCGGCCCCGGCCGCGTCCCCCGAGCCCGGGGCGCCCAGCGCGCCGCCGAGTGCCCCGGAGCCGTCGGCTCCCTGCGCGCCCGAGCAGTGGCCGGCGGGCGAAGAGCCGGTGCGCTGCGACGCGTGCCCCGAGGGCGCCGCCCTGCCCGCCGCGCTCTCCTGCCTCTCCTGCCTCGCCTCCTTCTGCCCCGCACACCTGGGGCCGCACGAACGCAGCCCCGCGTTACGCGGTCACCGCCTGGTGCCGCCGCTGCGCCGGCTGGAGGAGAGCCTGTGCCCACGCCACCTGCGGCCGCTCGAGCGCTACTGCCGCGCGGAGCGCGTGTGCCTGTGCGAGGCCTGCGCCGCCCAGGAGCACCGAGGCCACGAGCTCGTGGCGCTGGAGCAGGAGCGCGCGCTCCAGGAGGTGGGGCGCGGGCGCTGCCGGCGGGTCGCGGAGGGCGGGTGACTGGAGGTGCGAGCCGGCGGAGGGTCGTGGAACGCACCCCACCCCACCCCCCTTCCCGTGGTGGTGAATGTTCTCCTGTAACTTGAGGATCTTTGCTCTCGCTTCTGGCCGTGACAATGTCATCCGCTCGCTGTGGGACATTCCGTTTGAGATGGAATGGGGGGAAAGGAGGACCCAGTGAGAACGCGAAAAGCACTCGCGGGGCAGGCCGGGGGCCTGAAGGCTCGGCGGGGCCCATGGGGGTCTGAGGCAGGAGGGATTCGGGTCCGGCCCGCGGATCCCGGGCGGCTGGCTCCCGCGGCGCGACCGATGCTAAGCGGCCGGGCTCCCGCCGGTCCCAGCCTGGGTTCGCCCAGGGCCGAGGCGGCGGGTACGATGGGTGTGGCAGGCAAGGGTGTGCAGCCGAGCACACAGACCGCTCTGTCCAGCTGTTCCGGGGCCCGCGGTGGGAGCGTGTGCGGAGAGTCGGTCCTGCTACCTCCGCCCCCAGTTTCCTTTGGCCTCCAGCCCAGCCTTGGCGCCTCGGCCTTGGGATTTTCCGTCTCTCCTGCCTGGAGCTGTGACTCATAAGACCCAGGGGATTTGCCTGGAATCCCCATTTTTCAGCCCTGGACTGGGGACACACAGTCTTTGGGGACAGGGATCCCCGGGACAGCTTAATGTCCTCTTGTGCAGCCACCCCTCACCCCCATTCTCTGCCTCTTCCCCACGGAAGGAAGTTCTCAAGTGAATGTGAGCAACACTGAAGACTATAGGTGACCTTGCACGAGCCCACTGGTCAGAGAGGGCGGGCAGACGACCCCCAGGCAGCCTGTGCTCTCCCTGGGCGTCTGGGAATGGCACCAGCCTGGGCCTGAGGTGCCTCTGGCATGTCGTGGGGCATCCTGACCACTCCCAGCCCCACCTGTGCACACGCAGTGCTCCCAGGCCACCCCTCTCCTGCCTCTGGGCGAGGTCTGGGATCCCAGGACAGGGCTGCGGCCCCTGCCAGGCTCCGCACTCAAGAAGGACATCGGCCCTGGCCGGATAGTTCACTCAGTTAGAGTGTTGCTCCCATAGGCCAAGGCTGAGCGTCTGATCCCCATCAGGGCACTTGGGAAAATCAACCAATGAATGCTTAAATAGATGTCTCTCTCTCTCTCTCTCTCTCTCTCTCTCTCTCTCTCTCTCTCTCTCCCCCCTCCCTCCCTCCCCTCAATTTTTAAAAATTTTAAATTAAATTAAAGAAGGCTGTCCTCCACAGACCGAGCAGCCCAAAGTGCTGAGCGCCGTGGAGGATCGCATGGACGAGCTGGGCGCCAGCATCGCACAGTCCCGGCGGACCGTGGCCCTCATCAAGGTCGGGCCCGGCCCCCGCCCCCCGCCCCGCCCCCTGCCGCAGCTCCCGGCGCCGTGGCCGGCAGCGCAGGCTCTTCCCCCAAGGAAACCTGTGCTCCGGGCAGTGCCCCGGGCCACTGAGCGCTAGTGTCTCCCCTGACTGAGCACAGACTCCGGGCAGCTGCAGCTGCTCCCTCTGTCCCCTCAAGAGGGTTTGGGTGCTATGGTGGGCCGGGAGGGACGGCCCCAAACAGGGATGGTCGTTGCCCTCACCGCTGCTCCCGCTGTCGCCCCCTGCAGAGCGCCGCCCTGGCAGAGCGAGAGAGGGTGAACCGGCTGTTTGCAGAGGCTGCAGCGGCCCTGCAGGGCTTCCAGACCCAAGTGCTGGGCTTCATCGAGGAGGGGGAGGCCACCATGCTGGGCCGCTCCCAGGGAGACCTTCGGCGGCAGGAGGAGCAGCGCAGCAGGCTCAGCCAGGCCCGGCACAACCTCAGTCAGGTCCACGAGGCGGACTCCGTCAGCTTCCTGCAGGTGAGGGCCCGGGAGCGGGCCAGGCCGAGGGAGGAGAAGGCGGCGGGGCGCTAGCCTTCAGGGCCGCGCCAGCTCGCGGCCAGCCAGGCTGTCTCGCCCCCGCTGGGAGGCGCCGTGGCCGCAGGCCCTCCATGGGCGTTTGTCTGTCCAGGAGCTCCTGGCCCTGAGGCTGGCCCTGGAGGAGGGGTGCGGCCCGGGGCCCAGCCCCCCGAGGGAGCTCAGCTTCACCAAGTCATCCCAAGCTGTGAAGGCGGTGAGAGACGGGCTGACCACGGCCTGCACCAGCCAGTGGGAGCAGCTGCGGGGGCTGAGCCGGGATGAGGACGGGCTGCAGAAGCTCGACGAGGAAGGTGGGTGCCCGTCCAAGTGACTCATCCTTCCCCCAGGCCTGGCACCCGCTCCGACGGAGAGGGTGGAAACTGTGCCTGTTGCAGGGTGGGACCCAAACCCTACCAGCGACTGGCGCCACCGCTGTGCAATGACAAGCAAGCCACTTTGGCCACAGCCTACAGGGCAGAGGGGGCTTCCCTTAGACACTTAGACCACCCTTTAACCACAGAGAGGCTGGGGACCGGGGGCAAGTGAAGCAGGGGGCAGAACCCGAGGACCAGGTGTACCCGTGACCACAGGGGTGCCCTGTTGGGCGCCGTGCCTGTCCCAGGAGGCTTAGGATGCTGGCAGGATTTGGGGTGAGGAGGGAATGGGGGTCACAGCTTCGGGAGGGGCACCTTGCATAGCAGCCCAGTCCTGGGTTGCGGGGGAGACCCCCTCCCCACTCTCTCTCCTCTGCAGCTGATGCTGAGTCCCAGGACCCAGATAGCACCGGTCCCCTGGAGAGCGAGGTGCCCAGGGATTACTTCCTCAAGTGTGAGTAGGCCCTGGGCCCTGCCCTCTGTTCACGCTGGGCCCCCGAATGCAGCGCGGCTGGGCCCTGGTGCTCAGGCGCCTGGATTCCCCGCCTTGTTCAGGGGGTGAGCGAGGCCAGCTCACGGGGCGCTCCCCAGCAGGGCTGAGCCGCGCTGGCTGCACAGGCGGGGAGAGGCTGGGTCGGGGAAGCTGGGCACCCAGGGGAGGGGAGGTGCCCCCTGAGCCTGGCCCTGAGCCCTGCGCCTCTCTCCCGCCCCGCTGGGGGCACAGTCGCCTACATCGTGGACCTGGACAGTGACACAGCAGACAAGTTCCTGCAGCTGTTTGGAACCAAGGGTGTGAAGAGGGTGCTGTGTCCCATCAACTACCCCGAGTCGCCCACCCGCTTTACCCACTGCGAGCAGGTGCTGGGCGAGGGCGCCCTGGACCGGGGCACCTACTACTGGGAGGTGGAGATCATCGAGGGCTGGGTCAGCGTGGGGGTCATGGCTGAGGACTTCCCCCCACAAGAGCCCTACGACCGGGGCCGCCTCGGCCGCAACGGCCACTCCTGCTGCCTGCAGTGGAACGGGCGCAGCTTCTCCGTCTGGTTCAACGGGCTGGAGGCGCCCCTGCCTCACCCCTTCTCGCCCACGGTCGGCGTCTGCCTGGAATATGCTGACAGGGCCCTCGCCTTCTATGCCGTGCGGGACGGCAAGGTGAGCCTCCTGCGGCGGCTGAAGGCCACCCGGGCCCGCCGGAGTGGCCCCCCGGCCTCCCCCAGTGACCTCTTCCAGAGCCACGTGGACCACTTCTTTGCGGGACTCTTCAGGACCAGGCTGAAGCCCGCCTTCTTCCTGGAGAGTGTGGATGCCCACCTGCAGATTGGGCCCCTCAAGAAGTCCTGCATATCGGTGCTGAAGAGGAGGTGACCCAGGGGGCCCGGGCTGCCCGCAGCTGTCCTAGCTCCCGGTTCGCCCGTGTCTCTGTGCCCCCAGCTTGCCCCATGGAAGGCGCCAGCCTTGGAGTCCCACACATCCCTAGCACTCCCATTTCTAGAGGCTGCCACCTTCCACGCACGTGGCCTTGCACCTCTCGGGGAGGAGGCTCCCAGACCCTTTCAAGTGTCTTTCAGATCCTTCTCCCATGCAGGCCTTGTTTCCAGGAGAGAGCCTCGCTGGGACAGATGCAGTCTACCCCAGCCCCTCCTCTTCCAGGTTCCTAGGCCAGTGCCTGGCACGTAGTAGGTGCTCAATAAACATTTGTTGAATGACTGACTCCCTTTTCTATCCTTCTCTCTTCCCACCAAGAATTCTCGGTGTTTCTCATCTCTCAAGAGCTGGTCTCGAAAGGCAGGAGAAGGGAACAGAGCCCCCCATCCCTGATTCCTGTCGGGAGAGAGAGCCCCGGCCCAGGAAGAGGGGGCTCAAACAGGGTGCTCGCCTTTGTGGCGACCGACTCCTCGGGCCTGGACTGGAACAGCGGCGGCCCAGCCGCCCGTGTTTGCTTTGGGCGGCCTGGTTCCCATCAGCTATTTTCATCCTGAAGGGCACAGCCCCGAGAAGACCTGTCTCACGGTGTTTGCGCCTAGGATTGAATGCAGGCCTCGCCATGCCGGGAGCAGAGCACGGCTCCTGGGCCTGGGCAGGGAAGCCTGAGACCCACGGTTCCTTTCACACACACACACCTTCTCAGCCCACAAAGGCTGTGACCGAGCCGACCAGGGTGTGGCTGGAGCCGAGAACATCTGCAATAGAGGGACCTGTGTCCTCTGGAATCTGCCACCTCTCCCTGCACTCAGCCGTGTCGCTGGACCAGCACTCAGTCTCCAGGCTGGAGCACCTGCACCCTGCACCCCAGCAGAGCCCCTGCTTCTCCCCCAGGAAGGCCCGGTGCCCCCTGCCGCCCCCAACCCCCATCCTGGTCTGGGACACCCCAACTCTGCTCTCGGGGGAGGACCCACTCCCTGAGGCTGCAGGGGGAATGTGCTTCCAGGCCAGCTCAATCCGCCCGCGGTGCTTGGGAGCCCAGGGACACCCCAGAAAAGGCCCCGGCAGGGGGTTGCCCAGGCAGACAGAGGCCTTTCAGTGCCCAGCTAAGGTCACGGGGGACAAAGGGTGAGTTATGCAGCCAGACAGCAAGGCCATACAAGTCCTGCCCTGGCTGCCTCAGCCGCTAAAAATAGCCCCTCCTCCAGAGTCCCGCGTCAGCCCCTGCAGCCAGGCTGTTGTTTTTCCGGGAGGGGCCGCCTTGCTCAGGGCGTTTTGTGTTCAAAGTTTGGTTCCCTTGGCAGCCGAGGGCCCCCAGCTCCCCCCGGGCACTGGAGCCTGTGGGGGAGGCTGTTCTCTAGCTGTCAAGACAAGGGCGGCTCCTCAGCCCCCTTACCTGCTCTGAGCCCGCCGCCTTGCATGGACCCCCCCACCCCCGTCTCATCCCCTCCTGCCCCCACCTCCCTCCCTGCTTGGCACTGGGCCTTCCTGGGGAAGGCCCCCGCACACTTCCCGTGCAGAGATCCTGTGGGTTGCTGACCCGCAGGGCCCTGGCGCGTCACAGAATGTGAGCTAGACGGGTGAGGACTGGTGCTTCCTGGGTGGACTTCATGTCGGACTGGCCGAGTCTGCTGCCCCAGCGTCCCTGCCATTTACAGAGTGACTTCCAGCTGCCAACACTCACGTGCGCCTCTTCATCCAGAAGCCCAGCACTGCAGCCCCGCGGCTCCCAGCAGGGCGCTGGCGCCCCCAGGGCTGCACAGCCTGTGAGAGGCTGGCGTGGGCGGGGGGGCCCCCAGGGTTCGGCGTCATCCCGGTCTGGAGTGTTACCCACGCCCCTGCCGTTCCTCTGTGAGTCTGAGTCTAGGATAGCGCTGAAGCCGGAGGGTCAGCGTGGGTGCGTCTCTGTGTTTCTGTGTTCGTGTGTCTGTCTGCGTGCCTGTGTGTGTGTGCAGGTCCGCATGAGTGTTGGGTGTGTGTTAGTGTGTGTGTGTGTGTCTGTGCATTTGTGTGGATGAATCCAGTCTGGTGACTTTTCAAACATGCCCTGAGAAGACCGGCGTTCTAAGGAGGTGCCCGCGGCAGGGCAGCCTGGCCGTGTAGGAGGGGGCAACGGGGGCAGTGGTTGGCCCCTCGCCACCCCGCCGACACTTTAACGAGGGCAGGTTTTACTCAAGAGTGCTTGGAAGAAAGAGAAACTGTTCAAAAGAAAACTAGTTAGAAACTCCCCATCTAGCCCAAACCTACCACGACCATTTCCAGATGCAGTAACGGAGGCACAGAGACACGCAGGAGCTGCCCAGGGCTGCCCGGCCCAGTACACTCGCTGCATGCTTAGGTGGGTCCTGCGCTTAGAAATATCTGAACACATGCAATGCACACGCATGCGCGCACCCTCCTGCCCAGCACAGCAGTGGCCTGTGTAAGAGCAGCTCTCGGCCTGGCCCAGTTTCCACAGCCACCAGAGCCCTTGGCAGCGCTGCCCCAGGATCTGCGGTCTCCAAGGCTGCTGCCGGCGCCCTGCCAGTCGCAGACAATGGTGGAGAGTGTGAAGGGTCTTCAGAGGCCGTGTCACTATTAGCTGACTCTGGCTCCTTTGGGCCAGGCAGGACGCCAGCCTCCACTTGAGCTTTGTTTCTGTGGGAAATGAGCTCCGGAATTCCAAACAACAGACCAAGCAATGGACTTGAGCACCCGTCCCTCTCGGCAGCTGCGGACCGAGGGGTCCTGACCCCGTCACTGCTCCCAGCCCCTTCCCACACTCTGGGAGGACAGAGGCTGAAGGCCCTCTTCCCCCGCCTCTCCTCCCCTCCTCTGTCCCCACCCAAGGACCACTCACTGAAGTGCCTTCCTTCACCTCCCCTCCTCCCAGGCACAGGGTGAGGCTGCACCCAGGCTGTGGCCTAGCAGGAGGGCCGGCCAGGAAGACAGGGCTGCCTGGGAGGCGCTGAGGTCTGCACAGCCTCTGCTGGGCTCTGCTGGGATTTTCCCCAGGGAGGAAAATAGCCTGTTTAGCTATGGGGTGTATGTCGCATTGAGCTCCACACCCAACACACATATTCCCCTTTGATGCCAACGTTCACAATCTGGAATGAGGTCACTCCCTTTCTGCACAGTCACGTCTTCTGGAAGATGCGTAAGAATGGCTGGAGCCCTAGGTGGTCCTCGTGGGCTTCACCCAGCCCGGACGCTTCAGCCCACTCCCCCGAGCCCTCAGACAAGGGGACCGATGCAGCTCACCCCGGGCTCAGAAGTGAGCACAGAGTCCGGTGCACTCTCTCTTCAAATGACATTCAAATTCTGACTCTTACTCCATAATGTCTCCGATTTTGCTTTAATATAAAAAAACAATGCTTTGCTGCCCCAGAATTGAAGAATGGTTTTGTCTGTGAGTTCTGGAATCAAAAAGTCTTGCCCAAATATTCCACTTCAGCCAGTTCTTAGCTGTGCGTCTTTGGGCAAGGTACTTAGCCTCAGCTTCCCCACTTGGGAAATGGGGCTGAGTAGAAATGCACTGCATTATTTTGAGAATTAAATGAGATAATTAAAGCCAAGTGTTTGGCACGGGTCCTGGCATGGAGTGAGCTTTCAGTAAGTGTTATAGTTGTTACTATTATTATTTCTCTGAGTTACTGAGTAAAATTGATACTCTTGGAAGATTTGTGGATCCTCAGGGTGGGGTGGAGATGTCTGGATCTGTTCTTCAAGAGCTAAGACGGGCCCAGCCTCAGGCCGCTCAACCCGCTAAGATTGGAAACTGACTCAGTCGCTGAGCAACATTTATTCAGTGCGGGGCACGTGCTCAGGGGAACCACACAAATGGCTGTGTGATCACTGTAGCTGTAGTGAGTGTTACAAAAGCAAAGGCAGCCACAGCACCTGTGGGGACACACCCCCCAAAGGAAGCAGGGACTCGGAGAGATGGGGGCACGCCCCTGTTCACAGCAGCGCTGTTCACAATCGCCAAAGCGGGGAAGCGGCCCAAGTGTCCACCGGCAGATGAATGGATAAGCAAAATGTGGTCTCTCCATACGATGGGATATTATTCAGCTTTAAAAAGGAATGAAACACTGACACACACGACCACGTGGATGAACCTCGAAGACGTTATGTTACGCGAAAAAAGCCAAGCGCAAAGGAACAAATCGTATACAACTCCTTTTACATGAGGTTCTTAGAACAGGCAAAATGACAGAAACAGAAAGTAGGAGGGCGGCTGCCAGGGCCTGGGGGAGGGGAGTGAGGGTTTCAGGGGACAGAGTTTCAGTTTGGGAAGATTCAGCTCTGGGGAGGGCAGCGGGGATGGCTGCCCAACACTGAGAATGTGCTCGGTGCCACTTAGCTGAGCCCGAGGGGGTTCAGAACATGCCTCCCCAGAATATGTCCGTTCGGCATAGCAACTATTTTGAGCTGAAGAGATTTGATCGGCCTCCTCACATGTTTTAGTTACTTAACCACAATTACTTCTCTTTGTTCAACCTAATACATCAGCACTTAGGTCTAACTGGTCTTTGGGTCTTTCTTTTCCTGTGAAGGCTCCCATGTACCTGGGAAAAATAAAATTTGTGGGGTTTTTTTTCCTGTTAATCTGTTTTATGTCAACTTCACTGTCAGCTGGAGATACTAAGAAAATAGAGGAAAAGTTTTGCCTCCCTCCCCCACACTACAAAACAAAATTCCCAGACGCCAGAGGAAAAGAGAAAGACAATGGCTGAGATCAGGAGCCCCGACAGGGCCGGAGGAGGGGCATTTCCCGGAAGGCCCTCCCCGCAGGGACGGCGAGGTCTGAAGGACAAGGAGGCGCTGGCAGGACAAAGTGGGTGCGCAAGGGCTGGAACGGGCCTGCGCTCCGGGGGGCCAGGCTGAGGTATGGCGTGGACGGGCCGGCTTGGGGGGAACAGAGCCCGGTCAGGACTCTGAGCAAACGGAAGCCACGGCGGGGTTTCACTCGGGGAAACAATACAATCAGATCTGAGAGTGTAAAATCACTCTGCAATTTAGGTGAGGAGTGGGTTGAAGGAGAGAAAAAAGAGGATGAGAGGGACTGAGGCCACGCTACCTGGTATCTTTCCAGGGAGCTGGGGCAGGGCACCCCCAACTCCGGGAAGGAGGACCAAGCAATAGCAGCGAGGGGCCCAGGCCCCCAGGAGCCTCTCCTGGGCCCCCTTTCCCTGGGCGCCATCCAGGCGCGGATCCGGGGCTGGACACCCCCGGGGTGAGGCCGCCT